TCAAGTCCTTCTCCTTAAGATCCCTCCATAGTGACATAACAGATCTAATTGTGATTTACCAGCCTTCAACAAATTTGAAATAGTTTGTCAACCCCAGCAACAATGAAAATTGATTTTAATTTCGATAGTCTTGAGCAAACATTCCCGTGGACTCTATACATAATTGATTCCTTAGGGCTCAATTCCTTCTTTGATGTACCAGATTTTGTTAATATGCCAGAGCCCTCCTCTAACAAAAAAGAATATTTATCTAAATAATTAGATTCTGTTCTAGAACCACTTCCACTGATTTCAATGCTTTGATCTTCCAGAATAACACTGAAAAGGGGTTGGATTTGTGGTAGCCTATCCAGAAGGAGGGTCATTGAATAAATCTCTAGATACTGAACTGGGACCTGGTTTAGTAGGATGACTATTATTTGAATTTAAAACAGTATTGGGGGACACTGGTACGGCAAGAGAAAGATCTTGCGGATGACTACGATATAAAACATTGAAAAATGATCCTCATAAACATAATAATTTTAAACTTTACGAGTGGGAGATATCTTACAAGCTGCCTTCCATGCAGCAACAGTTTTTTCATCTTTTGGTAAACGATGGAATACTTTATTTTTGTATATACCTGAAGATTTCCGAACAATGTGGAAATAGGAATTTTTGCAAGAAGGTTATATTTCCATGGATATTTTAAAGTAGCGATGTACGAAGAGGCAACCCCAAATCCAGACATGACTGATTTACAAAAGAAAAACAAGCTTATTGAAGTATGAAATCTTAAGTATTCCTGCACACAATCCCAAGTGTTTTACATTGAAAAATATATGACAAAAATTATTATTATATGAAGACTATGAACGATAATTTCTCGACTGGGAATTAAATCAATAAATCAAATCAAAAATCAAACTCTGTTGGTAAAAAAGTGTCCTAGATTTTGCCTGGAGATTTATGTGTTTTGTGCCTGGAGAGAATGACCTTGGTGTTGCCAGTTCGCCCATAAGACCTTTCACCCCCCTGGTTCCTCCAGATCTCCTGGCAAGTAGGCCGCGCAACCATCTGACAAATCGTCAACGGTGCTGCCGTTGATTAACGACTCCTTCAGTCTTATATGTTTTGTGCCTTCAATATCGGAAATATCATTTTCAGCAGATTTCAAATTATGAACAAACGGAATCCCTGGCAGCCTGGCACATTTTCCTAGCATTCATTATTCCAGGCACATTCTCGGCATTATTTGGATAGTTCCCCCAGACAGTGTTCCCAGATAAGTTTTTTGATTATCAGTAGGTGTCGCCTCGAAAAATCAGTAGAATTCAATATTTTTACGTGTATACACAGGCAACCAGTAAAACTTAGAATAAAATATAGAGATGAGATATTCAATAAAGAATCAAGGTTTTTAAATTATTACAAATATTTTTATTTTATATAAAAACCTCAACTAACAGATCAAAATGCATACAAACAAACTTTAAAAGAACAAAATATTCAAAATAATACATAATATTAATTTTTGCCTTTAGTTATCTGACTCCGAGTCGTCATCTGTGAGCCCTTCCTCACTTTGTTTTTTGTATATTTTGGAATTATGATATTTTAAAATATCTTCGCCAAAATCCACAGAAAAGCATGTTTGATTGCTAGTTTTCAAATAATTTTTAGTGTGCAAGTTACCTACTATTGATACACTCGAAAGGCGATTTCGATGAGTAGTTTTCATGAGATTAACTTGTGAAAATGTGCGTTCCACATTCGCAGATGAATGTGGTAAGGACAGCATATTAAATGCAAAAGTTGAAAGTAGAGGAAACATAAAGGAGTCATCTCCATATTGAATTTTGCTAATTTTTGCCCAAAATTCTTCTGCATTTATATTGCTAGGAAAATCTTTTAAAATTTCATTACTTCTAAGCAAGCGCCATTCATTGTCTATCGGTTGAATTTGATTTTCATTAACTAAATTAGGTAAATGTTTTGCCAAGGGAATGACACTAGGTGGTTTTTCATTAATTATTGTTGCAGGGTCAATTAATTTCATGTTAATTAACACCTCATTGTTAAAATCAAATCTCTTGCATATCTGGTGTGCACTTTCTACAAAAAACTCTAAACATCTTTTCCTTAAAGTTAAATTAGAATCTCTATCTAACATTAGTAGAGGTATCTTAGCCCCTGAATAAAGTTCTTCTAGTGGTAAAACGTTTCCGGGATCTCTATAATTAATAGCTTTTAAGGGTTGTGACTCGATAATGTCTCTTTTGATAAAATATTCTAGTAAAACCTTGTAACTTGAGCTAATAGAACTATATAAACTATGTATTTTGGGCTTTTCTGCCTGCATTTCTCTATTTAGGTTATTAAAAAGGGGCAAAACAAATTGTAGAAACAGTAAAAATGCTTTTGTCAGTGGATCTTTCAAATCATTTAAAATATTTTGAGCAGCTAAAACTCCTTCAGATATAGCGGCATCAGTGAAAAATAAAACAAGAGCATTATATTGCTCTAAAATTCTGTTGACAGCACTTTCTAGACTTAGCCACCTTGTTTGAGAAGGTTGTAGGATCTTGTGTATAGGGGTTTCCGTAAATGTTTGAAACTCTTTGAGGGTATCAATACGTTTCGGGCTGTTCGAGAAAAAATTATATACATTGCGAACCAAGTCTTCGGCACGCCTAGGTAATTTTGAGCACGCATTTGATGCACATAAACTAAAACTGTGGCATATACATTTGAGTGTGAACAAGTTTTGTATTTGTGCTTGTAGTTTTGTAGTTAATGAATTGAGTCTACCGACCATCACGCTGGCACCATCCGAGGCAAAACCGATTAAATTATTTCGCCAGGGAATCCCATTGTTATCGAAAAAACGGACTATTTTTTCGTGAAGATCATCTGCTGTAGCTCCTTGGAGGGGTATCAAGGCCAGAAAACTTTCAGCAACTCTAAACAACAAAAACATCAGAAAGTATATTTTTATATTTTCTTGTTATATCTGTTTGAAAAGGGCGATCCCTTTATAGTTAAATTGACTAACTTTCATATGAAATTAAACACAATTAGAACTGATATAATTTTCGTTAAACTTACTTGCCAACTTGGCGATATCTACTTATTAAACATAAATGCTTTGTGCAGCCTCTATCCGTAGATTCGTCAACAATTAACGAAAATTTCGTGCTTTTTAAAATAGCACACAAGTTATCTAATTGTCTTTTTCCAATTACTTTGTTTACTATGGCGGAACATTTTGTTGGTTTACATTTAATATTTCTTGCTACTTCTGAATCGGGGCATATTTTGGGAAGAAGTTGTACGAAATGGTTCATTATATTGTAGGATAAATTATGTTCCGAGACAAAAGCTGCTATGTGCATTTCAGATTTTTTTGTCGTTTTCTCCAAATTGCTAAACTTTTTAAAAGATGCTAATGTTTGCTGGCCTTTTACAGATTTCAAACTTGTTCTGTGTCTTTCGCTGGCAATATGCCTTACTAGGGCCTCCTTTCCCGTTGTTTTGACTGATATATTTTTCTTGCAAGCTTTACAGTAGGCACTATTTTCTTCCCCTTGCTCTAACCAGCCTTTGAAATCGGGGTCATTTAGCCACGTTTTATTAAACTTTTGCGAATATTTAATTTTCTTGCTTCCCGAGGGAATTTCGCTTCCAGAATCATCAGATTCTGATTCATGTTCTCTCCTAAAATGAAATTACTTCTTTTGTTTTCAACCTATAATAATAAATAAAGTAACTTACCTCATTTTATTTGAATTTCACCTCAATAAACTTCACCAAACATCAATAAATAATCAAAATTTCTTTCTGTCACTTAATATTTGGGTTTTGGGTACTACAATCGAAACTCTTTGAAATCGGGGAATCACCATAAATCTATGGGAATCACCATATCACCAAGTTTACACAGAAACCAGCGGACAGCTGACTAAAGTGCCATCTGTTTGAGGATATGCAACTCTGCAACACCTGTAGGCTGTAGGGGCCCGCAACGGCGATTTGATTAACTTTAGAAAATAAGCGCTAGATGGCGGTGGGAAATACGGTACGATGTAGTATTTAATTCAATCTTGCTTTACAGAACCAGTTTTGCACAAAAGCACTTGCTATTGTGACTTGTTTTTTAATTTTTACTTAAGTTTTTTTTTGTACTTTACTTGACTTTATTTGTTCAGTAGATTTAAGAATGAAATCAGTAGATCAGTAGACGGAACCCTAAATCAGTAGATCTACTGATTTTTCAGTAGATCTGGGAACACTGCCCCCAGATCTCCAGGCAAGTAGGCGGAGCAACCATCTGCCAAACGTCAACGGTGTTCCCATTAACGTGCAGGTCACACTTCTTCATGAGTAAGAATTCTTTCAGTGTATATGTTCTGTGCTTCTTCAGTTTTATCGTCTTATGTGTTTTGTGGGTAGTGTTGTGTCTGAAATTTAAAATTGTAAGTAAAGGTATTTTTCTAGAATGAAAACAGTTAATTCATGGATAATTAACTCAATGACCACGTTCACGAATTGCCCAACGCTGGCTTTGTTTTCGCTTTATTGGGACCAGTTTTGTCACAACATGTAATTCTTTTTCTAGGTTTCATATGGGTTTGGTCTCAATATGTGCATTAACATTATTTACAATCTCTTCTGAATCTAATTCTTCTGTAGACTCAATAAACTCATTAGCAAAGGTTACAAGGTATATTTATATTATTGAATGCCAATTTGAAGTCCTGGGTACCTATTAGGAGCTGGGAAAATGTCTTTGCCACATGCTATGAGAAAGAGCAATGTGAACATTCAGAGAATGGCTTGGAGCTCTCAATATCAATGTTTATTTTATTCAAATAGTGTCTGTCAAAAAGCAGGGCAGTCCACAGTACTGTTGCTCACTGAGCTAACCTTCTGGTCACTGAGTTGAGTCACTGAAAGTAACTTAGTATTTATCAGTACCGTAAAACTGTGTTACTTTGCCCACCTTTTTAATTATTTTGCTTCAAGGTTTTTTTATGTATTTAGCAAATTTTCAAAATATGTAAAATTTTTTTTTAGGTGGTGGGCAAAGTAATATACATCTCGCCTAACTTTATCCATGATACTAATTTAGGGATCATTTAGGGATTTTGGCAAGTTTGAACTTCCTTCTTTATTCGACGACATATAAGAGAATTATCAATAGCAGTAGTAAACATTTTTTTTAGGACCTCATCTGGACAGAATGGATAAATTCTGGTAGCCCTAAAGCCACTTTCTATATTAGGTTTTGATTTAATTTTTATCATGCTTGTAAGTTTATTTTATGATGAAGGAAAGACTGACTTTTCAACACAGTTTTGGGACGGATGTTGCATTTTTAGCTCCAGGTCCAGGCTCTCTTGATGGTGTTTCTTTGGCACTGAACTATTACCTCCATGTTTAAATGTGACAACAAGTAATCACCAATAATAACTTTTGGACCTTGGATTTTTCGTGCCCAAGGTAGGGCTACAAATATAGGTGCATCAAACCACCCACTCTTGGTTCGGTTGTTTATTGCTTTCACCGGCCCCCCTTCCACTCATGTATTATACAGTCTTTTGGCTTTATATACTATGTAACAAGGTGAAATGTCTGCTTGCTGTCACTAACAACATGACGCTTTTTGATGTGTTCATGTGTCTTTCTGTACCTCTAAAAAATATACACTTCTTGTTCCCTAAAAATATTTAGATATAGTCATAAAGTCCTTTTTTTACTTACCCATATTGTCACTTAACTTAGTTTCATCATAATTTAGTATACTAGCAGGACGACCTCCATGAAGCGTTCTTTCTAAATTTTCAAAATAATTTTCGAATCCCTTAGATTTTTTCTCTGATCTACTTCTTTTTATATTTTGGTCTTTTGGTAAGTCTACTTTTGTGCTGTTCTAAGAATGAAGACGCCCATTCCCTGGCTGGTAAATTATTCTTGAAACAGGCTAGGTTGATCCCCTGTTCATCTAAATAATTTCTTACCAACATTCTTAGATCCAACTTGGTCATCAGGCTGCCAAACTCAGCACCAACAATCAACACATCAACCAAATGTTGTTCTTCTACTTCGGAGAGCATTTTGGGCCTACCTACATCATCCCCTTTGTGTTTTTTGTTTAATTTATTAATGACCGTTCGTCGAGATATTTTAAATAGGATTTCAGCTCGATGGCTGCTCATACCAGCTTTCATCGTCGTAATCTCGGTATTTGCCTGATTCTAGTTTTCTTTTATACTTCCCCATGACTAAAAGGTAAATTATATGTTGCTAAATGCGTCTAGATAATAAAAAGCAGACCATTGCCCATTTACATTTTCCCACCTAAATAATAGATTTTCCAGATATAATGAAAACTGTTATTTTTTTCATGGCAATAGATGCCACAAACCCCAGTTACAATGGCTAGTTGGAGCATCATATAGGGATAACACGCCAAACTAGTTATAGTAAAAAGCAGTACAAGATTTACAAAAACTTACCTCATGCGCCAAACCATCATCCACCACAGACGACGATCGAGCACTGTCAGTCTGAGAAATATGTTATTCATGTTTACACTTGCTATCTTGCTAAAGTCAACGAATTTAAAGCAGAGATTTGGAAGCGACAGTGTTGCCAGATGGAATTTGCAATATTTTCTACTGATCTAGCCATCTGGGCAAAATATTTCTCGAAGAGTAAGGCCGTATCGTCAGTCGTCCCTACAATTGTAGGGCGCCTTTATGGCCTCCTTGATTGTCATAGTTTTCTACTTCTCCGTGTCAGAACTCTATTTTGAGGTTATGTCACAAACATCTATTTGCATCAAATTGTGCTTGCTTTTGAGTTATATCATGTTTTATCAGCCTGAAATTTAGTATAATTTAAAAAGAAAACTTATCTTCACAATAGGACAGCGCTGACGCTAACACGGGACAAGTGTAATCTTGAAATTTTTGAAGGAGAGAAAGAAGTATGACAATCAAGGAGGCCATAAACACGCCCTACAATTGTAGGGACGACTGACGATACGGGCCTTAAGTAAGACGGCTTTACGGTACGTGTCAGTAACTTTCCATGATGCTTGTGTCACTTTAACTACTCATTTTTTAAATGCTTCACCACCTCTTCTACCAGTATCATGATGAAAACAAATATCCACCTATAACCCTTAAACTATATGTTTTGTAAAGTGACTGGTATCTTAGCTCACAGCATCAGTTACTTTGTCATTGTATTAGGCCAGGCAAAACTAGACTGTTGAGTAACACAGGTGAAATAAGGTATCACAAGGTAGCTAAGTTGAATTAAGGGCGGAATCAGATGTTGTTTTTTATTCATCATATTATTTAAAGATGTGACACTATGCCATTTTAGATTGATTGAGCTTGTGACTTAGCCACTATCTGACAATTTCCAAATCCACTCTTAATATGTCTTGCTATTACTGTGCTACCCTGCCTCTTCTGTGCTACCCCTTGCTGGGACTAACAGTAAGGAACAATGGGGTTCATGGTCATGCTATGCAGATCTGCATATATTACCTTCACACTGCTAATCATATATATATATTAAATGGAAAACATACATACCTGACAAAGATGTCAGATGCCTTTTCAAACTATATAAACTATCTTTGAATCCAGTGACAGATATGTTATTATGAAATGGTGTATCATTTTATGTTTTATTAGAGCATTCATCTCTATATTCTTCATTATATGCCTAGTAGAAATACCACTTACCACCAGCCTATCACACCTATATTTTTGCATGGAAACAGGCATTGCAATAGTTAAATGCATATATTCATTATAGCATTAATGGCAGTTTAATTGAAAACTAGAAGAGACCAAAGAGTCACCTTTTCCAATTTGTAAACTGATTAATTAGTGTAGGTAAAACATATCATTAAAGTCTCTTATTTATTTATCATTTTATGATGAAAATTTGAGGCATAGTTTTAAGTATCATATTTACAAACTATGTATGTTCATATTAGCTATGTGTACACTATGTGCGGGTATACTCGTACAAGGGCGTGGTGCTGCATTTCCAATGGCTACAGTATACAGATAGCCATTGTTAACATACTTCTTACTCCCTCTGACTATGATGGTTCAATTGTATTTTTCAAATCACAAATTATGATATCATTGTACACAAATTGTGGATATGTAACTATCTTTAATCTACAGTATTTGATGTTTTAACTTTAACACATTTATTGCAGACCCTTTTTCCTCAACAATGGAAGATGGTGATCATGATGAACTCCTTCAAGGAACTGACGATGAATCAGTCTCTGATACAGAGGACCATTGTATACCTTCTAGCAGAAAAAATTCTGATGATTCACATCACAGGCACACCATCACCTACTTCCATCATACTAAACTTGAGTTTCTGACTACCAAGATCACTCTTATCTTCTCATCTACAGTAATGCTGATCCTGCTTCCACTGTACTTGGACTCTATTAATGTCAAAGGCAATGCTTACTCCTTGATTTTGATGAACACGTTGATATCAACGCTCTTGTTTGTCATCACAATGGTAAGAACTTTTGATATATGTACTTCTGCTTGTTTAGCCAATAACCAAGGAATATTGTTTATTGATTATAATAATAATAGAACAAAAATATGACAGTAACATATTTTCCATAAATATTTCTGCACCTGCTCTATTAGATTTCAGAAAAGGGTCAAAAGCTGAATGTACATGAAAAGAAAGCTGTAGTATTTAGATTTGGACTGTATTTTTGTACTCTAGTTTGATTCACTTCCATAAACTATCACTAACTGTTTAGTTGATAGTTTTCTGGATATTAATTGTTATCTTTATTGTTTCCAGGTGATAGCAAAATTCTTCTGTGAAAAGTATAGAAACATTGGCATTACAAGCTTTCCAGTGAGGTTTTTTAAGTTGCTGCAACTTGCATTGGTATACTTCCTCTGCGCATTTATGATCATCTATGCCCTGGACAGAAAGCGAGTGGTGTGTCATTTGCAGGACCCTATTAAAGGCATTGTACTTGTGTTTTCACTGCTGTACTACTTCTTCTTCTGTAGAAAATGTGAGAATGGCATACCTGCTGCTGCAAGTAATTTATTATACAGGGTGTTTCGACCCTCACCTTTAAAATCTCTGAAACTGTAAGAGATATGGAGTTGCTTAAATGGGGGCAAATTTGCGTATTTAGATAATCAACAAAAAACCTAATTTTCCCAAAATCGTTTTTTTCCCTACCTTTATTTGTAGTGCGATTTCAAAATAAATTGTACATTAACTTTTTCTCCTCTACAAGATGGCATGTCCTTCAGCAACTTAATTTTTTTTAGACGCCATATTGGATTTTTGCACAGATGATGAATAGGATTTTTAATTCTCATCCCAAAAATGAAAGATACCTCATACATTGACGTTTCCAAACCTTAGTTATTTAAAAAAAGCAGAATTTCCTATATAGGCGTTGAAATAATCAGATAGTCATTTGGTAGCCTACTAGATTTATCCCAAAATTAGTTTTATTTTTTCTTACTTTATTTGAGATGGGATTCCAAAATAAATTGCATTTTAACATTACCACTTTTTCTCCTCTACAAGATGTCATAATTAGAATTTCAATATGACGTTTCGTCTCTTCTCCTTCAGCATTAATTAATTTTTTCTTATGGAGGCCATATTGAATTTTTGCATAGATAAATAGAGTTTTCACTTCTGGTTTCAAAAATGTGTCATATTGACATTGAAAAAACTTTACTTATTCCCAAAAACAGAAGTTTCTAGGTAGGCCTTGAAATCATCAGATTTCATTTGTTTTGTATACCAGACCTGATCTCAAATTGAACATAGCAACAAGTTTGGAAGACTGACAAGAAGGAAAATAAATCGAACTGTCAACAATGTACAGAGAAGAGTCAAGATTTGCCTATTTTGAACGTATGCTTTGATTCATCTTTGCTTATTTATGATTATTATTGTTATTACCATCAATAAAATTTGCATTTTGTGTTCAGGTTTCACCACACCGTCTTATTTCTTTATAATTTTAATCCAACAACAAATTCAAGGTTAACAGGAAATAAATCACTGAATTTGGGACTGAAAAGTCCATTTAAATATACAAAATTTCAGTATAACGTCCATATGAACAAAGTTGGTGAAGTTAAAAAGAAGAAATGTCAAATTGCAAATCTTGCAGAGGAGAATAGTAACAATGACAACATGCTATTTATTTTGTAGTCCCATGTCGAATAAAGTCAGGGAAAAATAAAAGTGATTTTGGGATAAATCTGGTATTCAAGACAAATGACTATCTGATAATTCCAAGACCTACCTAGAAAATCCTGATTTTTTTTGAAATAACTAAGGTTTGTCAATGTCAATATATGACGAATTATACGTTTTTGGAACAGGAATCAAAAACTCTATACATCTGAGCAAAAGTCTAATATGGCGTCCATAAGAAAAAATAAATTTGATGCTGGAGAACAAGAGACAGAACGTCATATTGAAATTCTAATTATGCCTTCTTGTAGAGAAAAAAAGAGGCAAGGTGCAATTTATTTTAAAATCCCACTACAAGTAAATTTAGGAAAAAATGGAAACGATTTTGGGAAAAGAAATCCTCTGAATTCCTCGAATTTCGAAACTTTCTAAGCTGCATTTAGTTGTCTACATAAAGACGCAACTTTGTCGCCACGACTTTTATCTCGTACAGTTTCCGCATTAACATTGCTACTTTTTGTTCTCTGCAAGGTGGCAGAACCAGAATTACAATATGGTGTTCCATCTTTTGTCCTCCATCATTAACTCTTATTTTTTCTTATGGATGCTATATTCAATTAGGCGAATAGAATTTTTAATTCTGACTCCCAATAGTCCCGGAAGTATGAATGAATGAATCTGCATGTTTTCCAGCTCAAAAATACCTTCAAAATTATTTTAATATTTATTTGAACAAATTCTATAAATTGTTTTTTTTAACTTGTCTTTAACTAAATTTGCTAACTGAAAGCAATCAAAATTGTTTAAACAACAAATTTCCTTTCCTCTCCCCAGAAAAAGGCGTCCAAAGTTTGAACCTCTGATTAATTTCTACAGCTACGTCAAACAAGGGTCTAGAATTTTAAGAAAACTATTGTATTTTAGGACCAAAGCACTTTGCCATTGAGTTGAAAAGTGATACTGGTTTCTTAGGTATCAATGTCAAAATATTCCCAAAAATTGCAGATACCCTCTCAGTACCCCAGCACGGCTGTATGATTGAGGCTAGAAGAAAAAAAAGATGAATTTCAAACCCTGGCCATATGCAATATGCTTCAAATATCGGTTAATTAATTTTATATACAATGTATATTGCTATAGAGTGATACCTTCAGACTGATTTTATACTTGAGCACTACGAAATTACGAGTATGAATTAATATAAAATGGGAAAAATACGCGGTAAATTTAAAATGTTGAAACGCAACTGACGTCACCATTTGCGACTTGTGACCAGCCACTCTTTGTTGATTGGTCCCTATCCTTTGATCTCATTGCCAGTGATTGTCAACCTACCAGTTTGATGTTTGATCAGGTCGAAAGAATACAGTTATTTATCGCGCTATTTTTAAAGCTTTCTCGTGTACTTTAGATCTTGGGATATAGCAATGACTGAAAATGGTTTTCAAATGGTAGTGTTGGATAATGTTCGCTTTCGTTATAACAGCTCCTATTACAATAGACTGCTGGGGGGTAATTCTCGATATGAGTAAATAGAATAATTGATAGAAAGTGGGCGTAGTGGTTTTCTTACCTTTTGGGAAACTGTATTTTTGAAGACTGATAGAAGAGCCATTCTCGACAGAAACAGTGAGTAAATCTCGCTGCCTTCCATTAGTCTCATCTCTAAAGACAGGTTAATTTTGTGATAGAATGTTTAAGGATTTGAAGAACCCATGTACGTATTATTGTGCCGAATTTTAATGCATTCATAAACTGACTTGACAAATGCCAACAATTGTTAGAACTTGGGAACATTCTTCAGGAAAGAGAACCAAGCCCTCTTTCTGTCAGTGAAACTACTCCCACGTTATCAAGAATAGGGGCCCTGGAGTAAATATGAATAAAAAATCGTGGAAACTACCGGGTTGTCCAATAGGGACGCAGGAAATTAAACTTCAATTTAACATAGACGCCATCTTTGTTTTCTGTCACCGACATGTCATTTTGTTAGTTGAATGTTTACCATTGATCGCTATGGAGTCGTATTCGATTGAAAACCGCATTAGAGTTATTCAAGAGCACTACAAAAATGGTGCAAAAATAAAAAACACGTTTCGCGCGCTTCGTGAACATTTCGGTCGCAACAACCGCCCAAACGAAACAACCATCAGCCGTCTGGTGCGTATATTCGAGGCAACAGGTTCTGTGGCAAATCTGCCAGGCTCTGGCCGGCCAAGGAGCGTTCGCACACCGGAAAATACCGCTGTTGTGAAGGAGAGTGTGAGAGACGATCCGAAACAATCAACAACGCGTCGATCCCAAGAATTGGGCATTTCGAGAACCAGTTTGCTCCGCATTCTCCACAAGGATTTGAATGTAAACGCCTACAAGATCCAATTGACGCAAGAGCTGCGTCGGGCCGACCATTTTTCGCGCCGAACGTTCTCAGATTGGCTCCTTGAACACCGCCAAATTGATGCCAATTTTTCATCAAAAATCATGTTCAGCGACGAAGCGCATTTCACTTGGAATGGGACGGTAAACAAGCAAAACTGCCGCATCTGGGCGAACGAAAATCCCCGTGAGTATCAAGAGCAGCCGATGCATCCTCAAAAAGTGACTGTGTGGTGTGCATTGTGGTCAAAAGGCATCATCGGACCTTACTTTTTCGAAAATGCGGCCGGGGACGCCGTTACCGTCAATTCTGAGCGATATCACGTGATGATAGAGGACTATTTTTTGCCGCAACTTGAAGGAATGGATATGGACGATGTTTATTTTCAACAAGACGGTGCAACATGCCACACAACCAACGTCAATATCCATCGATTGCAGTCCTTCTTCGGTGATCGCGTGATTTCGCGCAGAGGAAATGTGCCATGGCCACCAAGATCGTGCGATTTGACTCCCTTGGACTTCTTTTTATGGGAATATTTGAAAAGCAAAGTCTACGTCAACAAACCAGCCACCCTCCAAGAACTCAAAAACAACATCATTGCCGAGATAAATGCCATAGAACCGACCATGTTGCAAAATGTCATTGAAAATTTCGACCATCGCGTGGACGTCTTTAAATCCAGTCGTGGTGAACATTTGAGCGATATTATTTTTCATACATAAATGGTATAAATGAACCTTCAAAATAAAGTACCCAACTTGATTTGAATATCAATCTTTCTTGTTTTAATATGCGTTTACTTTCCTGCGTCCGTTTTGGACAACCCCATATATTCACGCTGTTAGAAAACTGTTTCACGTACGTTGGCTTTGTGTCTCATATATCATGGCATAGTCCGTATGGCGTTATGTTTGGAAGAAATAAACCGATCGTAATCTAATTGATGACAGAATTGTGTACAGTCAATCTATTTGATGACATTTTTTAAATTGGCACGTAGGAGGATAACTGTACCGGCTTAATACAATATCAGGTCACTTTCATTGCAGTGATGGGACTGCAGCGGATCTTTTCTGCCACAACTATAATCGTTGGTCTGTTCATCTCGATCGACTACGGCCTTTGTGACGAGTTCCGTTGCAGGGGGTACGAAAGGGAGAGAATAGCGGATGACGCGGGAAGGTGGAGCTGGCACACTCACGTCGCTTGGACTATCGTGTATGTTGCAGGATTGGCGCTTTTTGCTGCCTACTTTTCCCTCCTCGACCTATACGTGCTCGATAATGGAGAAATGGTGAGGTTTCTCTAGCTGTTGATACTAATATTTTTCTTCAGTATAACTTCTCGTGAAATATCGTAATCATATATAATGTGTATATCACGTTCGCTCGGTTTCTTGGATGATAATCTTAGTGTGAGCCAGAGCTCGTCGCGTTAATGCAAATATGTGTCTCGGATGTCCCACAATGTCATCAGAAACTTGTCTACCTGATTGCGCTTTCATCAAGCTATTTGCGGCGCCCGTTTGCTCTAAATCAGTACTTGCATAATCTTAGCTATCCGATGTAATTATTTAATTGATTTGTCCTATTATACTTTAAATTTGAAATCGTACCTTCAGTATCGATATACAGGTAAAATATCCTTAATTCAAACAGCCTAAAAGTTTCCCCTTTCTTCTTCCAGGAATGTCACCAAGTCAACATTCCGTCTTCGTTTTTGAGCACAGTATCTCGGTCTGTTTCTTTTCCAAGCTCAAACAACGCAGCTTCTTCTCAGTTCATCACTTCCTCCTCGGATCCCTCGCATCTTACCAAAAAACACTCTGTCGTACATTTGGCGATGTGGCTGCACATATTCGGACTAGTTATAATCTTAGCTCTGTTTTGGACTGATCTTACGCCAACTCTGGGAAAGGTGAGTAAATTTACTTAAGCAATCTTTGTGTATTCAAAAAGTCAACGATATATAGTATAGATCACATCAGTCATTTAGATCGCTATAAATACCTGAATATCTCACACAAGACTTGAAGATATTTTGAAGCAGTAGCGTTCACTTGGATATCGAAAGAATCGCGTCCGTGGAACTGTTGGTTGTGTACTCTGGAGCCGCAGAGTGGTTTTTTACCATTTTGACCCATATATTCTGTGACATTTGTGTCAGAAATTGTAAAAGTCGCACGAGTTAGTATCCGCAGGTCGCTAAGAACAAAGCAGTAGGATATAACTAGGCTGAAGGCAAGAAAAAGAACATTATAGAAGAAAAAACAGTACCGCATTTGATATGAGTCAAGGTGTAAGAAAGAAAAATAAAAATCAAAATCATTCAGAAGGAGAGGAAGAAAAGGAAAAAGAAGGAAAAGCAACACAATGTAACAGTAATAAGGAGGAGGTATTATTAAATGACATCATAAAAGCAAAAGAACAAATCATCCTATCCGAAGATGAAATAATTCTGGCAAAAGACATAATAATAAAGGAGCTGTACGAAAAAATTTCCTTACTGTATGAAAAAATTGCAACAATCAGTTGCAGAACCAATGGTAAGATAGAAGAAAACACCGATCAAGATATTTGTATCAACAGAACAGAAGCTTTGAAACCGTCATATAGTTCAGTGGTGAAAAAGGGAAATACAAGTTCTAACAGCATTATTATAAAACCAAAAGAAGTACAACAAGTCATGCAAATAAAAAAAGATATTCTGAAAGATTTAAAACCTGGTGAGTTTAATGTGAAACTTACAGGAGTAAAACAATCCGAAAATGGAACATTAAAAATTTCGTGTGCAGATGAAGGTGGTGTTCAGAAAATAAATGAGGTAATCAATAAACAACTGAGCAGCTCGTACAGTGTGAACATCGTAAGTAGTCAACAAAAACCTAAGATTAAGATAGTAGGTATAGAACAGATGGTTGAAAATACAGAACTTGTTAACATTATAAAACAAGAGAACATGTTTATTGACAGGGAGATACATATATAAATGTAGTTAAATCAAAGCAAATGAAAACACGATATTTTGCCATTATAAAATGTGACCCCAAAACCTTTCATAGTATCATGGAAAACGGAATATTATGTATTGATTTAACAATATGCTCAGTATATGAACACATTAATTTGTTAAGATGCTACAATTGCAGCGGCTTCAACCACACTGCTAATAAATGTACCGGAGAGATGTTCTGTTTAAAATGCGGTGAGAGAGGACATAAAGCAGATATATGCACGAAATCAAATATATCTTGCCCAAATTGCTTGGAACTTAATAAAAAAATTAAGTTGAATTTAAAGATTGATCATTCTGCTTTTGGCAAAGTAAATTGCACAGTAATGAGGAAGAAGCTTGAGAATAACCTTGCTTCTATATACCTTACCCATGATGAAGTTATACTGATGGGCGATGTGAATATTGACCTCACCGATAAGTCTTCCAATCCCAGTAAAAAAAATTTCAAACCATGGCATTATTCAATCTCGTTCAGGTTATTAATGAACCCACAAGAATTACCAAGAATTCAGCTACAATGATTGATGTAATTTTTGTATCAAATACATTGCATGTGCGCAAGAGTGGCACTATAGGCATGGGAGATATAACTGATCACAGGTTATCCTTCTGTGAATTGAAGATTGAAATTCCAGAATACACTCCTACAACATTTTATTGTCGTGACTTTTCCCACTTTAATTATGATGAATTTGCTGAGGATGCAACTGCTGTTAACTGGCATGATATAAATAATCTACAAAGTCTTGATGATAAAGTCCTCCATCTTACTGAGAACATTACCTTGCTGTATGACATACATGCTCCGATGAAAAGAATTACACCTCATAAGTTCTACAGGCCATATGTCACCTATACAATAAAACGAAAAGCTTACAATAAATTTAAAAGAACTAGATCTGAAACAGATCGATTGTTTTATAACGATCTTACAAATTACTCAGGTGTGGCTTTAAGGAATGAAAAAACAGCTTATATAAAATATCAACTAAATAAGAACAGGAATAATCCCAAGCAACTATGGAGAAAGACTTCGTTAAATGGAATATACATCAAAAATCCACTAATCAGATATCTCAGGGCATTGAAGACGCAGAAGCCATCAACAATTACTTTGTGAACTCGTTGCCAACCACTCAACATGATGAGTTATTTCTTAACACTTTATCTGGGCAGAAAAAGTCACTCGTAACTAAAAGTTGAGTACAGCCATTGTTTTAGGTGATACATCTGTTGAAATTGTAGAGGAGACTAAGAATTTAGGCATTTTGTTGGACACAAATTTAAGTTTTGAGAACCATGTCATTAATAAACATCGAGTATGCTAGTTATGTCACTTTGGAGATACAAACATGTTTTAACCAGCAATATAAAATTAAGGCTTACCAATGCTACTAATCCTCACTCACCTAGACTATGGCGCTACAGTATATTATAATTTTCTGTCGGAAGAAATGAAGCACAAAATTCAAGTATTACAAAACTGCTGCATGACATTCTGTTTCAAAGATATACATATACAAGAACATATTACTGGATATTATGTGAGAGAAAATCTTTTAAAATTCAAGTATCGTGTATTACTTCAGTATGGAACTCTACTATATAAAGTTTTAAAATATAAATTACCCAGATATCTGTTTATTGCTTTGGAGAAGAGATGTTCACTCCGCCAAGTTTCCTTACGCAACAATGAATACTCAATATTCCAGTTCATACAACATCTAAATTCAAAAAATGTTTTACTTAAACGGCACCATATCTACTAAACGATCATTTAGAACTTTTTGAAGCACCTTCCATCCAAAACTTCAGAAATCAGATGAAAAAAGTACTACTACAGCTGCAAGATTTGAATCCACAAATTAAATTTATGGCGCTTGCTACACTACCCTCCATTAACACTCAGACTATATCGTATTATATACTGTGTTGTCCATAATATTTGTTGTGAATACTAATCATTCTGTTGATGTTAAAAAACGCTCATGAAATTAACTTTTTAGGGGGAGGTGAAAAATGGCCCTGCCAATCCTCTTTCCTTTTGGAATGTTGTAGTTTTTATATTTTTATGTATAAACATTCCAATAAAAATTATTATTATATACTGGGATCATATGCCATGTTCCACTGAATGCTCATCAACTGCTTGAAGGTTTAGATTTGGTGATAAGTGCATCTACTGGGTGCGTTTGATCAGCACTGAAACAGGCAATTGCGGGGCATCCCAATTGCTTGCAGTGCAGTGGTCCGGTGCTTAGAACTGAATTGGTCTAACATAATTCGGACCGAGCTTCTTATAAAATTTTTTTGCCAGCTCGTAATAATTGTGAATACGACGAAGACACTTGCTACAGTAGCAATCTGCAATCAAATTTTACTTTTGTTTGTATAGAAATGCTACAGGTACATTTGCCTTGATCACGGAGACGTCTTATCAGACATGGATTTGACGTCGTCGAAGGCCAGAAATGATCTGAATGCCCGTCAATGAATCATGTGGACGAAACGGTGGCCAAAGCAAAACACCTACTGGCCTTGGACCATAAAATTGTTATGGAAAATTTGTTGATGAGGAAAGTGTGGTGGTCACAAGTCTCTACAATTCATATCTAGCAAGGGCATCTTACATCAATATATCTCATTTTATTAAAAAAAAAATGATGCCCACCGCGCTTTGGTCTCCCAAGATGGGGAATCGTCTCCATATGTCAGAAGGTAAAACACAAGCAATAAAAAGGATAAAGATTCTTATTGCATACCGCTCCGGGTTGGCAGGAAGTTGGCTGCTGATTATTTATTAAAAACAATATTTTGCCCATTTATATTTGTTAATGTATCATATTAATTAAAAATTGATTTTCATCCGTATGCCTTCTTGGTTACCCTAAATAGTTTTTTAAAAATGCTGATTTATAAAGGGTGTCTATTTAATATCCAAGCACTTCGATTACTCGGCACCCACAAATTTTTTTAATAATTTTAAAAAACCTCGCAGGACATTAAAAAAGCAATTTTTCGATGATCCTCCAGACAATGACTTTGGAGGTCAAGTTTGAAATTGCGTTAAGTAGGTTGGGTCAGCATTTCCCACGCAACACTCTCACCAGTTCAATAAAATATTATGTTTAGCACAAGTTACATCCTCTGACAAAAACGTTAGCTACATATATTTTAAATTTTAATTTAAATCAAGTTCGTCAATCAGTCCCAATAAACATTTTCCCTGCCCTTCCGATAGTCCCGTCCAAGGTCGCACTTCCCTCATACCCCACCGCTTGCTATGTCGCTCGATGCATTGTCATGTTAGAATCGTGCGCTCTGTGATGTCAAGATACTCATAGGGGAGATTGGCACCAATAAAGCAGTAGTCACGAGCCGATGACATTTCGCATCATGTCTTGAGCAGCGCTTTTGAAAGCAAATTCTCTTGTGACAATTGAAAAGCAGGGGGTGGAATGTGGAATACGTCGCACGATTAAGGTCTAGCAATTTTTACAGTAAGATATAGGAATATATACCATTTTCTTTAAACAAAATGGGAAACTTAGACGTCTAGGGGTGGCGCTCCGTCACCCTATCTAAATCGGCCAGGGTGTGGGATATGGAGCGAGTCTAGAAAAGCGGGGCAGGAAGTTTAGCGTATTTGTAGTAATGGACACGTAGATAACACGACATACATCTCAAGCGGATAAAGTTCTTATTTTCACAACCTTTTTGGTCGCAAAACCTACATGTATGTCCCGATGATTTCAACTTATAGCGTAGCTTTAATTTGTTGCTAGACCCAGCGATGGGTATCAATCACTATTGTCTGTTATCCTTAGGGTAAAAACTTCGCGGAGTTTTGGAACTACACGCTGAACGGTATGATGTGCCACTTTGAGAAACCAGTTCCTCCTAACCTGGGACCTCCGCCATGCGGAAACGTCTTCCTGTACTCATGGTTCTTCATGTGTTCCTATGTTTTGTTTGTGGTTATGTCCATGAAGTTCCTTATCTTATCTCAATCAGCAGTCTACACCATAGCCACCATGTCTACTTCGCTGCCCTTTGTAGGAATTTGGTGGTCACTCTTCCATGCTGCTCCCCATACTACAGGTGAGTTCAGAAAAATGACAGTTGAAAAGTAGGTATAAAGCTCAAAAATGTAACCTTTTTTTTCAGAAATCTGGACTGTAGTCAGAAAACTCGTTATGTTACTAGCACCCACTAGAAATAATAATAAAAATTAAGCATGACGCTAACTTGGCTGAAGGAAATCTTTCTGAGCGTTCCCCATATTTTGTTTTTCCACTATTAACGCCAGAAAATTTACTGTATTTCTCTAAGAAGAGGTTGCATTTCTCCTCCAAGGTAACTAATTGTCACTGCTAATAAATCCTGTATTAATTTCTGAATATTTCTAATAATTATTCATTATTCTATTTTTTATAACTGAAATTATTGTTTTTAATTGTATTTATTTATCTTATCATTTTGCCAGTTTGGAAGTACCATGCGACTTGATAAATTGGAGTATTGGAAAATGAGTGGGAAACGAATGATGTGTCGACATACGTAACATCTATATTTTCCGGATTCTATCATGTAGCAGCAGTGTCCCAGTCCTACGCACCATTCTGCGATCCAGACATTTCGTCTGCTTTATTCGGACATTGCTGCCGGACGTTCAGGAAATTATCAGATAATCTGTATTTCAAAGTCTAATCAAATAAAATGCAATAAATAACATCGTTAGTAGTAGGAAAATTATATACATACTTCGGTAGAGGTCACTATCGTTCTCACATATTATATCCACTGGCGCTATGTGCCTCATTATATAAAAGTGTTCTATAATTACTTCATATTACTGCAGCATAAACCGGCGTCAAGTAGGTTGACTCTGCACTTCCCACGAAACGTCGTTATCATTTCATAAGGATTATGTTCGGCACAAACTAGACTACTACCAGTAGTGCACCTGGAAACGTCGCCTCTTCACGTTACTTAACGTAGTCAGATGTGCGTAGATTTACCAAGGTTGTGAGCGTAAAATATATTAACATAAAAACATTGAGATAAATCCTCCCCACTCCCATATAACCGCCATCCTCATTTTTTTTGCTCTGAATTCTTTTTCAAAAATGATGAGGATCCAAGGAAATGTTTGAGCGATTTCTATTCTTTTTCTTTTTTTGGCCTTTTTCTCTGGTGCCACTAGACAGATTTTTAAAAGATACAAGGCTTTTGCGTCCTTGGCATAGTAGTCATTGTGTAAAAATTTCATCGAAATCCGTGCGGTACTTCTCAAAGTCTAGGCGGTTATCAGATTAGCGGTCAAACCGACAGACAGAAAGACATACCTACGGAAATCATTGACATGGTTTTTCGTGATGTACATGTCATATAAAAAACATCATATCTCATTTTCGAAAATTTTCGCGATTACAATACCTCCTCGCCAGTATGCGTGAGAAGTAAAAGTAACACATTTTATGAAAATCGACTTAATTTTTGGGAGTATTGTTATTTCATCGTGAAATTATTCTGCAAATCCTACGTTCCTACCTAAGTATAATGCTAATTTTTTCGGACTCACTCGGTGTAGTTGAATGAGAGAAAAAGTGCCTATTATACAGGGTGTCCGCAAAGTTGGGGTTGACCTTTTCAGAAACAACTACCCTTGAAATAACAAAGGTAATGTGTTGTGAAACGAGGGCGACCAAGTAAAAAAAAATAAAGGAAAAAGTACTCACTCTCCAGTTGACGAGAAGGGGTAAGTACGTCTCTGCCCGAAATCATACCGCTCCAACAGAAAATGAAATCAGCTGATGCGCTACCGAGCAGACGCAGGCGGTGGTGCCGACCACGAACAGAGGTAACAAATATGACGGCGTTGCCGCGTTTTCAGTTTTTAGGTAAACGTACTTTATAGGTATTGTTCGAAGTTATCGCCGTTTGATTCAAAAACACTGGTGCGTGCACGACGTAGCCAAGCATCGGTGCAGGCTTTGAGAATGGAGTCCCTCCCCCGAATGAAAGCACCAGCTTGTTCAATTCTGAGACGAAATTCGTCAACCGTATGCACTTCAGTTTTGTACACTAAGCGTATCATTTCTCCCCAAAGAAAAAAATCACATGGTGTTAAGTCTGGAGATCGCGGAGGCCACGCTACGGGTCCATTACGTCCGATCCACCTATTCGGAAATAATTCATTCAAAAACTCACGCACTTCGCGTCTAAAATGTGGCGATGCACCATCGTGCAGAAACCACATTGATTGTCTTACACTTAATGGCACATCTTCTAACAAGGAAGGCATAATGTTGCGTAAAAAGTCTAGGTATTGCATCCCGTCCAATCGATTTGGGAGAATAAATGGTCCAATGAGCATACCGTTCACCATGCCAGCCCAAACATTCACCGAAAATGTTTGTTGAAAATGTGCCCGACGGACAGCGTGTGGATTTTCTACTGACCAAACATGATTGTTGCGAAAGTTATTCACCCCATTACGCGTGAACGTAGATTCGTCTGTCACCAATATGCTCTTCAAAAAGTCCGGATTATTGTCATGTTGATGCAACAACCACTCTTGCTGGAAAATCGTCAGGTTGAAGGGCTTGTACACGTTGGATGTGAAACGGATACAGCCCCTCTTCACGCAGCGTTTGCCACACTTTAGTTTTTGATACTTGCACTTCTCTAGCCACGTCTCTAGTGCTTGTTGAGGGATTCTCGTCTACGCGATTCAGTAGTTCTTCCTCAACTTGCACCATTCGTGGTTGTCTAGGCCTCCCACTGTGCCCACTTCGAAATTCCTCCAAATGGCCCGTATCCCTGACTCTCTGGACCAGGTACACAAATCTGCGGGGCCTTGGATGATGTCGTCTAGGGAAACGATCTGCATACACTCGCGAAGCCTCTGTAGCATTTTGAAGACATTCGCCATAAATTAACAACATATCAACGAGTTCATTATTGGTGTATGAGTGTGCCATTATTTTTTTTTTTTGAAACGCGATCGATTATACGGGTTCGTTTACCTCTACACGCGCGACCGTAACCGTCGGTTGAAGGTTGCATACTGACCTGACACACTGACCCCGACCCAGTTCTGTCGTCGGGTTGAGCCAGTGACCTTGTACCACTCGGTGATGTCGCGGGTCGCGGCTACAGGACGGTATTCAGATATTTTTGATGTTGCAGAGCCCTTTATCTCTGTTCCCTTAAGACATTGGTGTATATGGTACTAAGAAGTATTGCTTATGTTTTCAAGATCTACACGTCGTGTAAAGGAAAACCCCAACTTTGCGGACACCCTGTATAATCAAACCTTATTTGCTCTAAGTCAAAACAAGGAGGAGTTATTGAAACTTGTATACACAATAGTGGTGTTAATTCTTGGTACGGTAGTAGCTTGGTCAATCGTGGCGTAAGCATTAATCGAATTTCTGATCGATACGCATCGGGTGGTGCGCGGTTCGCGATGTCATGTCATGGACAGAACCTGAGGAATACTCATTATTTATTGCATTTAAAACCAGCGTACACTGTTCTGTATGTATCTCGGCATTTTATTAGATCTGCCGGAAAGTTCTGTCCGTATTTATGTTATAAAAAAATATTTCTCCATACCCTGCATAAACTTAATCGAATAATGTAATGTTTATAATGTATGACCTCTTGCCAACGTGATGGCAATCTTTATATTCAGTTTTTATAAATCATATCTCTAGGTGGTGGAACAATTGATCAAGCTCTTGTTGGATATGGTCTTTGTTTTCGAATTTTTCAATCTACAAAAAACTTATAATGACAAAGGTAGGTGATAATCAGATATTCCCAGGTCTGGAGAGAATGGGAAATGTCATCCAATTGTCCAGCCTAGTGATTTTTATCATAGTGTGTAGTGATGATCAACATGCATACTACATATGCACTTGGCATAGGTCAATTTTTTGACAGTTCTGATATTAAATTCGTATTTTTAGTGTTAATTTCTCAAAGTGCGAGAGTTTGCAGAATTGTACAGTTAGACAATTTCAAGACATGGTATTTTTCACATAATTTGCAAAGAGCGGCATTAGCCGAATGAAGGTATAGGTTTCCACCGGTATTATTATTACGATCATACAACACAGTCACTCTGGTAGGCATTGGTAGTCAAATAAGACAAAAGTATGCACTAAAACTACGCAATTTTGGCGACAAACAATGCAATGTAAAAACATAGGCTTGGCTACTTCTAATCTATTCGAATTCAATGGTTTCAACAGCTCAATATTTATTGATCCTCGAATATTCAGCCATTTACAAAATATTTTCTTGCGGAGGCTCAAATCCGGTTTAGTGTTGGAGGCAGCATGCTATTTTCATACGTTATGCGCTTTTTATTCCTTGTTGTTATCGAAGAAAGGTTCTATTCTGTTGGGTGCAACCAGATATGTGTTTCCCTCTGAATTTGTTAATTAAGTTTAACTCGAGAAAATATTTTGCGTCAACATAATCCTGTATATTAGGCAGTTCAAAATTTTCGAAGCATCTCTGTATATTCTGTTAGAAGCTGTATCTTCACTAAACACTTTTAATAAACGGTTACACTATCACTGCTCCAAATTCTCCCCCTACAATTGTGTATGCATTCCGTCTATGAACTCCCTATATATATTTTATTGCATTGTTAATTTTCTTAAGGAAACTAACATACGAATTTATTATTATTAGTATTTCTTTTCACAGACGTATCTGTCTTGTAATAAAGGATAGACCAGATACCAACCAGGTGTCAAAAAGACTATCCAGGCACCTTCCTTAGTATACGCTGTTCCTAGTAGTGTCGTTTTCTGAATTTGGTAGAGTGCTGGTTTACCGGATATTGAGTCACAATTTCCGTGGAAGGTTTTGGTGATAGTTCCTAATGCACCGACAACGACAGGAGTTATCCAAGCTTTCACATGCCACATCCTCTGCATTTCTATCTGGAGATCTCGGTACTTAGATATTTTTTCATTTTCTTTCGATTTTACATTGGAATCATCAGGAACCGCTATATCAATCAGTTGACATGTTTTCTCCTTTCTGTTATGGATTATGTAAGGTCGGTTTGCTTTTATTGTCCGATCCATTATTATCGGTACATCCCACATAATACATACATCAGTTGTATCATTCTTAATGTTGGTGACACTCTGGATTTCATGCTGATAATTAATACTTATATGTAACTGGAATACCAAACGAGTCACATATTTTCCAGTGAACGTAACTAGCTACTTTGTTATGTCTATACTCTGAGTGTGCTAGTACTTGGAAACCTGCTACTATATGGCTGATGTGCTCGTCAGACTGCCCACATATTCTGCACTTACTGTCTATACTTTGCTTTAGTATAAATTTTTGATGGAACCTTGTACTTAATGCTGGATCTTGTGCAGACACTATGAGAGCTCCTGTTTCCGCGTAGAGCTTCTCAACCAACTGATACTTCCACGTTTATCTACCTATGTTCTCTCGAGTTGTCGGAAGAACTGTCCGTGCAATGGTTTCGAGGCTACTTTAACTAGTCTGTCACTTTCAGCGATGTTCTTGATCTTGTCATTCGAGTTCCTGCTGCTGTCTTCGCCTCTTAGACTCTTCTTAATCTCTTTCTGTATGGAGTATTTGCAGAGGCCATTATCCCATCGTTTCACTATCCTTGACAGTTTGACATTCCCTTGGGCTATATATTCTTCGAGACCAACCATGGATGTTTCATATAGAGCTTCAATTTCTACCATTTCGCGTCCTCCATTTCGCCTCTTTACATATACCCTATCCACGTCAGCCTTGGGATAGTGTACTATATATGTGCCATTGTCAGCAGCTTCCTGGTTTTGCGGTCAATTCTCAGAATATCTAACTTCAGCCAATTGACAATCCCAAAGCTGTAACTTAGTACAGGCACAGCAAAAGAGTTAGTATTATTATTACTATTATTGTTGTTATTATACAGTGTGTTCATTTGAAAACTTCTCATCACGGATTTATCGAAAACCACTGATTAAAAGAAAAAATGCCGAGACACGTCAAAAGATTTGTCAAGGAGGACAACTTTTAAACCAAAAAACCACTTAAACATTCTAGAAATATATTTCCAGCAAGCCTCCTCCTCACTATATTCTTCCGGTTCGGCAATGGCTAGACGACGAGTTTCCTGATAAATGGATAGGGCGAAGAGGGCCAATATTTATATTGGCCTGCTAGATCTCCTGATTTGATGCCATTAGACTTTTTTCTTTGGGGCCATTTGAAATCTATTCTGTTTACTCCCCAACCTGAAAGTTTGGATGAACTTCGTCAACGCATCATCAAAAGCTGCCATGATATCCGACAACATGTTTTTGAAAATGTCTGTCAGGAATTTCAACATGCCTATATCATTGTTTGGCCAATAACAGGCAAAATTTCGAACACTTATTGAAATAAAAAATGATATTTTCGCGTGATTTTGTTTTCTATCTGAACAAATTAAATAAATATTTTTCTAATTTTCTTGAAAACGAATCGACCGATTTTCAAACGTCAAAATAAAGGCATTCCAAAGACCTTTCAAACAAGCTATTACCTGACACCCCTTGTTAACATTTTCAAGGGATGACCCTGGAGGGCAGAGGGTGAAAGGGGGTGAAGTAGTTTTTAGTTAAAAAGTTGTCTTTTGACGTGTCTTGGCGTTTTTTTTAGTCAGTGGTTTTCGATAAATTCGTTGTGGGAAGTTTTCAAATGAACACCCTGTATATATTGAGACTGGCTGCATGGACTCTTTATGTCCTAATGCCAGTAAACAACAACAAGAAAATTCTAAAAATTCTAACACGAATCGTTTTCGACATTGTTCATTTTCAAGACTAGCATGTACACTACCGCTCAAAACTATATGGTCACTCAGGTTTAAAGGACACTCACACAAAAATTTAAGGAAAACAAAATTGCATTGTTGATAAATTTATTACTCCTGATAATTGACCTATATTACATCAAAAACCTAATATTTTACTGTTCATTCTCACGACTTATCACATTGTCCATCCTTTGCTTTGATGACCTATGCGCACGGTTTAGGTGCCCACAGGGGTATTACGTAAAAATCTTACTTAATGTCAAAAAAATCTAACGTAATATCAAATTGTTCATTAGGTCAAATGAGGTAGCTGCTGGTGCACATATAGTGCATACCACTGATACACGTTTAAGCTACTACGAGAGGACATGGAGAGAACCTGTCATTCACTAGTTTCAAGTTAACATTTAGTAGAAAAAATGTTACAAAATTCTTACATACTGTCAAAAAATTCTTACCTAGTTCCACTTTTCCAAAGATGTGTGGTGGAAGTTAGATACTTTGCACTTTGGTATCTGTCTCATTTACCCCGAAATAGGTCCATTGGATTAAGATCAGGAGGTTGTGATGGACAAGTCAAAACTTTCAGCACTGTTTTCGGATCTGAGTCTCACAAATAGACTTTGTATAATTTTTAAGTATGTTTGGGTTCATTATCATGTTGAAATATAAAACTTCTACCCATCAATCGACATCCTGACGATGTCATATTCTCCTGTAGTATTTTTATTACCCTTTTATCTAAGGACTCATGTTATTTTTATCAGATCGTCAGATGCATCTCCTCCAAAGAAGCCCCAAACCATTTTTTGGCCTTTTGCGTGTTCCACTGTAAGCACTATACATAATATAACCCAGTAAGTTAAAGGCGTATTCGTAAAAGTAGATCTTCTAGAACGAGTAGCAGTGAAGAAACTGCTTCTTTGTGCGAAAAAGAACGAATGTTAGATGCGAGTGATAATTCTTACTGTGAAACACAAATAAATATCCGATGGTTTGCGGATGGGAAATGCAACTGGCGAATTGATAAAAGTAGCGGAAAACCTTAAGAAACAGGGGCATTAAAAATATGTGACATTATCAGGTCGTCGATTGGTCGGTAGAATGTGTATATTTCAACATGATCTGACTTCATAATTATGCAAAGACTATTTAAAAGAGCGAAAAACAGTACTGAAATATATAATTTTATCAGCACAATATCCCGATGTTAATTCAATAGTTATTATCGGATAAATTAGTCAGAGAGATAAATAAACAGTGTCCATCTTCCAACACAGACCCTTAGCGTTTACTGAAGATATATTACCAGATGCCTAAACTATGCATAGAGGTCAATTACCAAAGAGTGTATATATCGATGAAGCATAAATTTGAAACGAGTAATAGTGTGAATCGTAGATTCAGAAATTTAGGTGCGTTATCTTGGTAGTTTAAAAGCCGCTTAAACTCGCCATCGGGACAGGACTGAAAATCCATAAGGGCGACTTGTTCTCTTAAATTAAAATCACGTGAGACGATTGGCGTCGTCACAATACCTTTTCTTGGTGCGCTTTTTTTTAGTTTCACATATAGGATACAAAGACACAAAAATGTCTACTGCTTTCTTTGGAATATAAAATCTGTTATTTATGTCATACAGTATTTTATCTCGCCCGCCATGACCGCAGGATTTATGAAATCTAACAAGATATCAAAACACTGTTCTCTAGGTAAAATGCGTACTGTGGGAGCAGTTGCTGTGAGTCTTTTAAAAATCAAACAATCTTCATTTGCAGTTGTCATAATATCGTATTTGCCCATCCACTAATAATCCATGACCGTCCTTCGCTGTCCAGAACTCATGCCCATCTGAGCTTTTTTTGTATCGTTTATAACCTCCAAAATTCTTTCCGATGTACAAGCTTTTCTATAAGATCCTGTAAAGATAAAATATAATGGTTTGTTCATGAAAGACTTAACTTAAGAAAATGAGCATTTAATCCGCATGCGCGGCCAGGATTACCAATGTAGCAATGGCGACAACATCAACTCAAACACACTAATAAAATCATATGTTTAACGTCAAGGTAGCTGACAAAAGAGTGTTTTGTGTGTATTTGTACTGCGAGAACTTACGGACCAAGCCTCGACATTGACAACTGGTCCCTCCCCACGCGCTTGCTCCAATGCACCGATAATCAGCCAAAGAATTCGGATAATAGTCCAGGTCATATTGGAACATCTGCCTGGAAAAATTGTCCGATTCCGATTTTTGCATAATCTGATTCGAGGACCCATGTTAAAGAATCTGCATGTGACTAGGCCCAAAATTGCTCCAAAAATTGTTCTTAAACAGATTCCAAAAATTGATTGGTTCGCTTTGTTCAAGGTAATTTGCGGTTTTTAGGACATTCTGAACAAAAAATGCGCTTTAGAACTTTTCTCTGGACTTGATATATAGCGATTCATTTAATTTATCTGAGTGGTGCGTTAAACTAGATAGTAAATAACAGTACCTTAGTGTTAAAATGCAGCGTTATTCGTATGCGAATATGCATTTAATTTTCGGAGAAGCTGGTGTAACGGAAGACGAGCCTCGCGAATCTACGCCTAACGGTTTCCAGAACGTCCTCATCCGCGTCACGCCATTTTTGCAAGGATTCATGGACGTCTTCGTGTCAGTGGCAGCATCAGACACCTCGCGGGAGCAGGGCGGCCATTCACGAGGCGCACAGTAGAATTTGAGGAAGCGATTCTGCATCATGTAGAGGCCAATGCGCGTACAAGCGTGCGTGCTATTGCACATGATATGGGAGCGTCTCAAACTACTGTTTGGGGGGTTCTCCATGACCAGCAACTACACCCATACCACCTTTTAAAAGTCCAAGCCATGGGTCCAGAAGACTATCTGCCGCGTCGACGTTTTTGTCGTTGGTGGCTGCAGCAGGAGTTCAGGCAACCAAACTTTGGTCGCTACGTTTTGTTCACTGACGAGTCCTGTTTTACAAAGGACGGTTATTTTAATAGCCGTAACAGTCACATTTGGGATGAAGAAAACCCTCATGCCATAGCCATCCATAGAGACCAACATCAGTTTTCAATTAACATCTGGTGCGGCATTGTGGACGAGCATATCATCGGGCCATATTTGCTTCCACCACGTTTGGATGGGGATGCTTATGGTCGATTCTTACAGCATGTGCTACCGGAACTATTAGAAAATGTGCCACTGAACATAAGAGCCAACATGTGGTTTCAACACGATGGCGCTCCAGCCCACTTTTCTTTACAAGTGCGGCAGTATTTGGACGACAAATTTCCAAATAGGTGGATAGGCCGAGGTGGCCCTGTGCCTTGGCCTGCGCGGTCACCCGACCTGACCCCACTGAATTATTTCTCTGGGGCCATCTGAAAGCTTTAGTGTACGAAACTCCTGTTCCCAACCAACAAGAGCTACTGGGAAAGCAATGTAAAAGTTCAAAATATGCCGTTTGCATGCGATGTTGCCAAATCCCCTAAACATGTTTCAACCAACAAATAACAAAATCCCAGAGCATTTTAGGGGGTACAGTTTTTGCAAATATTTGCATTGTAATTGTAAACTAAATGCCCGCTGAATGTATAGTCTATGTGAACGCGCGAGAGAGATGAAATAGTTCTCGTGCACGCTGAATATACATTTAGCGTGCGCTTGCTTAATAAATAAATACAAAGGTTGATAATAACAGTATCCCCCAAAAGGCATCGCAATTGTGTTAATGGTTAGTTATGAAGTATGGCAACATTAACATTTTCGTTTTTTCAGATCGTTTTTCGGTGTCGCAATAGCCATTTTTTGTTCTTTCCCATCTCGTACAAGATCAACTATAGACAAACATTGTCAAACATCGTTGTGTTTCGGAATATCCCATAAAACGTAGACTACCTGGAATGAAGCGAAAAAATTATTTCTTGGAATTTGATTAAAAAAGTTGTCCAAACAATTAGAGACGCAAGTTGGAGCCTGACAACATGTAGAGTTGTTACAAGGAGGCCTTTTCGAATAACATGCAAAAAATCCGAAACCGAATATTTTTCCGAGCAGTTATGAAGATATTTCTTGGACTATAACCTCGACGGCAGTGCCACCTTTCTAGGCTGGAAATCTGGTGGGACTATAAATATTGAAAGTATGCCGACAAGGCATATCAAGAATGTCAGGAATGTGCCGACGATTTAATTTGTTTGTATTACAAAACCTGACTGATGATCTACCCGATATCGAGGCAGTTCGATGATCATAGTTGCACGACACATCCTCAATAAAGAAAGTATTTTTTCATCAGTTAGGCTAGTAATGAATTTTAGGATAATTAAAAAAATGTACAATTAAAAAAATATTTATTGAACAGTCCCAGCAATAATAGAACAAATTCTTCACATAGAAGTATTCTACCCACATGGATTTTTCTCTATATTATGAACTGATCAGTTTAATATCATCCAAGCACTATCTCTTAATTGATCATCATGTATATTCATTGCAGAAACATAAATTCTAAAATAACAAAAAATGCATCTGTAGTTGAAGGACCGACTGCAATACAAATATAATCTCTCTGATATGTGAATCAAAACAATTCTGCACACACTGTTAATGGGTGAAAGCAAACAAAATTGTCCTCAAGAAAAAAAAAACACTTAAAAATATTCGTTTCTTCAAACTAGGAAACAAACTCCTGATGTCATTGACAATTAATTTGGTATCCATAAAATTAATGATGATCTTCATTCCAACTGTCTCCTCCAAGGATGTTGACACTGCGAAAAAAAAATGATTGGCGTAATATCACTGTCAAATTTGGTCAGATAACAGTAAACAGAAACATACCTATCTCACCACGCCCCTTCAGATGATACTGCTTTGTACATATGTTTAAATTCCAAATCTAGCAGTATACATTTGATTGCCAAAATTCTCAGTCGGAGAAAGCATGTATGTGTAAACAAATTTTCATTGGTGATACCAAACGTCCTTAATTTGGTCCCGGGTTTCACCAGATTTGTTATTACCAACAGTACAAATGCCGTAAGAAGAAGTTACGGCTACTCATCTCTTTACCTTAACAAACATCAAAAGAGATTACATATTTGGTGGGTTGGGAATAAACAGCATTGTTCAGGTCTACACCTGGTTCGTAGTTAATGACAAAGTACCTCCACACTGTTCTGTGAGGTTTTGGAAAAACGTCATGGGGGGGGGGGGGCATGGTATAGATTTAAATTCACTTTTTCTTCTATAGGTGCCATAATTTCCCAACGTCACCACTGGTACGTCTCAGATATGAAAATGTTTGTATCTATCAGCTATAATGTCAGTACTACAAGCACAAAATTTTAAGATCGTATCTTAGTCCATTCCATCCTTTTTTTTTCATTTTCTAGAATATAATTTCAACATCCTCTATCATGGTAAGGGGCAATTTTTTTCATGCTATTTTTATCTAATTTATGCTGCAGCAATATTGATATGTTTTGGCAGAAACTACCACTACGGGATGAAGTCAATATGACCACTGACTTTATTTATTATAATTTTTAACATCACATCTCTGATTTTTTTTATCAAGCCGCCCCGCCCCGATGTTCAGCTCTAAACTGCCATGCGTAAACAAGAGCAAATCATTTTTCTTACAAGTACAACTATCACCGAACCATCTGCCCATACAGCAATATAATTTCGATCGAACATCACGATATAAATATCGACTATCGACGTTTGTACAGTATCGATGGCTCGTACCCATTTTCTAATTCCAGCTGTAGCGGTCAGCTGACCAACGCTACTGATCCGATTGGTTGGTTCTTAACCCTTTCGCAACAGAGGATCTTGTGACGAAATCTGTCTGTCCTTACGAGGAAAACGCCGCTTGCTGTTATCCGCTTCCCGTTCCAAATCAATAATTTATGACGCGCTGATCTATCCGCTTCCCGTTAGGAATGACTATACGTCTTTGAATTTTTTATTATATTCTTTAGTGAAATAGCGATAATTTAAAAAATAAAATTTCAATTTCCAAAGACATTTTCATACAAAAATATAAAAATACAAATACATACATATATTTATGTATATAACAAAAACATAACGTAAGTAACAAAATCTGAATATACAAATGCAAATGGAACCTTTAAAATTTTAACAGTGTTGCACTTCGTCGCCGGGTTGCAGACTTTGCACATTTTGCCGATGGTAATAATGTAAAACTTCCCGACTTGAAATTCTCTACGCGAGACTTTGGGAACATGGTAACTGCGCTGCAATCCGCCTAGTACTTGTACTAGGATCACCCAACGCCAAATTTATGACTTCCAGTTCCTCTTCAACAGTATGCCGGGAAGTTTGGTCTTAGAAATGAACGCGTAAAACCCTTTGGGGCAGGTTGGCGTCTGTTAGGAAATCTATGTTGATACTCTCGAAAAGCCGCTAAAGCATTTCCATCACACAAAACCCGTTCACAGAAATAATATCAGCGTACTCATCATTGCTAAATTCCATTTCACAACACTTAAAAATGGAAATAAGGAACTTTTGACTTGACTTTTACAAAAAAAATGTAGTAGTAACTATAACAACCGTATAACACATAACTTTAACAAACAATCTCTCAAAAAACGTCAAGTTGGTATCAAGGTCTCCTATTTTATTTTGAAACTAACTGTATCTCGGCTCTTCATGAGTGATATAATTTGTTTTATTTTTATTTTTACGAAAACTGAACTCTAGAAAAAAAAACAGTGGCGTACTATTTTTATTTGGAAAAATAATGCCTCTGATCCCCTGTATCTCCGCCACTAGTGCACGTTAATTTTGAGTAAAGACTTTTGAATGTGGACAATACTTAGGTAAATCCACGTACCAAATTTCAGTTCATTCCAGCTGACGGTTTTGAAGATATTAAAAAAAAAATGTTTTATATTTTTAAACTTCAACACCCCGTATCTTTTTAATGAAGCCTTCGAGAAAAAAATGTTACATAGAAGACCCCCCTTAACATGTGGTCCTGTGTAGATATTTCATGTTTGGTCAAGACCCAGTAGTAGTTTGTTCAACAATGGTTTTGGTCTTCTTGATCCGATATTTTCCCATTCCTCGGCGTCGTAATCGAAATCGCCCTCAGAATCGCTATTCTATGTATTTCTAACAACTCAGTTTCGATGGACGGTCGAGTTCTACCAAAGAGCCATTCATTTCGGCTGGTCGGAGTCCAGATCACCGAGGACCTGATCTGGCACGAACACATCTCTTCAATAGCTGCAGCTGCTGGGAAAAAGCTAGGCCTTTTGTTTAGGGCTAAGAAGTACTTTTCTCCGCATGACCTTCTCACTCTATACAAGGCCCAGATAAGGCCTAGCCTCGAGTATTGCTCACACATTTGGGGTGCTGCCGCCCCGACTACATTGTCCATGCTCGATGCTGTCCAGAGGAGGGCGGTCCGACTGATCGATGACTCTTCTCTAACAGACAGTCTCGGGACTCTTTCGCACAGGCGGGTCGTCGACGATCTAGCTCTTTTCTATCGCTACACCAACGGGCTTTGCTCCTCAGAGCTCTCTTCCATGATGCCGCCGCGCGATGTGCCTGCCAGACAGACCCGCCTGACTTCGGCGTCCCATCCTAACCGTGTCAAACTTCGTACATCCAGAACTGGCCGATACGACCGCTCCTTTGTCCCGAGGGTGTCTAGATTGTGGAACAATCTACGGGAGGAAGCTTTTCCCAGTTCTACTAACCTTAGGCAGTTCAAAAATCGTATTAACAAAATTTCTTTGGGATCATCATAGCAGCCGCGGTGTTCCGGCATTTAGGCTTCTGCCTGCGCGGCTGTTTCGATATAAAAAAAAACTCATGATCTGTTAACTCACTATGAGACATTTCGAAGATAAATATAACGTAAAATAAGTAGTACTCGCGTTCGAAGAATAATGGTCAATTAAACGTGCTGCAACCTGTCTTGACGGTGCCACCTGTGCGACAATTCTCTGCATGCCTGTTTCCCCACCACCGAAAATTTTTGCTTATATGCATAGTATTTGGTACAAACAAATACCGACATATGTATATGGATCAACACGTTTCTCGTAGTTTACCGGGACCTCGTTCGCTGCGTAAATATACGTTTCCCGTATACCGGACACTACCTCTTTTTACGAATATAACCGGCTCTCGTCGAGAAAGGGTTAAGATAAAGTTAAATATATTGAACTTTATTTTAATAAATGACCTTGAATTAAGAAAATTACCATAACCTCAATATATTTAGTCATTTATGCAAAAATGTACTGATTTGGATACTTACTGCAACGTCATCATTAGGCGCTCCTCTGACGATGTCCGATTGCGTTCAGGTGCTTTCTGCAGGTACCTCTTCACTAAGATCAGGTGTTAATGCCAGCGCGGCTTTTCCGAAACCACCCGAATCATGCCAAAAAATGGGTGTGACGTCACCAAAACGTTTGACCACCACCGAAAATCACTAGCTAGTTGCCCTCTGTCGACGTGGAGGACACTGGTGTAGAAACAACTGATCCTTAAATTAGATTACGTTAATTCGTGCATGAACGCGACATAAATCACATTAATAATTATATGCCCTTGGTAATGAACTTATTACACAATTCACAAAGAACAATTACGAAAAAACAAAACAAACTTACCTTGATTCTGTTCATCATATTCAACAAGTTTCCTATCGAAATTTGCTTTATAAACTAAATTGCTTGAGTCAGTCATAGCTAAATTCACATTATTATTGTCGCTACACTCTTCCATTATACTATTTTTTATTGCACTTTGGGAAACACCATCAAATTTGTTGTTATGGCGTCACCATATTGACAGTTCTGAGAGTTTCGGCACTAGGTATCAGCAAGTGGAACTAAATTTAAATGAACAGGCTAGGCAGCTAGAAACGTTGTCATTTTCCTAGATGTTTATTCAAATGGCTGAACATCATTCAGGCCGCTAGTTGAACGGCGATGTTTGGCAAAGAGGCTAGGCTGTTGATTGAACGGCTGATTAAACCACTTGGCTGCGACATTCAGTCGTATAAAGATTGCGCTAGCTATCCGCCAAAAAAATAAAAATGACGTGCGTACCTTTTGAAAGGCGGCATCTGAGCGAAATTTTTTAGTTTACTTAATAATACACACTGTTTCTATTTATCGAAATGTTTTCCTGGATTTCCAACAATATCTAATTTGTATATAAGTTCAAAAACGATTTGCTTTCGGCATATTCAGCTGAACCTGGACATGTACATTAACAGAAAACAGTCACTCAATTAGCCGCATAACTGCATTGGAATTATGTATTTTCAATTATCTAAACGCTCAGAAATTCCTCGCTGGAGCTTTTTTTAAGTATAAGTGATATACAGGGTTTGTCCGGAAAGTAATAGGACTGAGTCGATTTAAAAAAAATTATTGAGCCAATCGTTACAATTCTTTAAAAACTTTCAAAATAGGCTCCTTCTGCGTCGATGCAGCGCTGCCAGCCCGATTTCCAAACATTGAAGGCGTCACGGAAGGCATTCTCCGGAACAGCCTTGAGAGCCGCGGTGCATGCTGCTTGGATCCCCTCTATCGTCTCAAAATGCTTGCCTTTCATCGGCCTTTTCAGGCGAGGAAACAAAAAAAAGTCCTAGGGGGCCACATCTGGGCTGTAGGGCGGCTGCGGAAGCGTTGGGATGCCGGCCTTGGTCAGGTAGCTGTTCCCAAGAAAGGCGGTGTGAGCCGGGGCGTTGTCGTGGTGCAACTTCCAGTCGACTGCGATGTCTTGTCGGACCCGACTGACCCTTCGTTTGAGTCTCCTGAGCATTTCCACGTAAAACTTGGCGTTGACGGTTTGTCCAGGAGGAACAAATTCATGGTGGACGATGCCTTTGATGTCAAAAAGGACAATGAGCATCGTTTTCACTTTGGATTTGCTCATTCTTCCCTTTTTTGGGCGAGGAGACGCCGTCGTGTGCCACTCGGAAGATTGCCTCTTTGTCTCGGTATCATACTCAAAGATCCACTACTCGTCACCTGTGATTACGTTATTCAAAAATTGGGGGTCACTTTCACACATGTTCAAATTTTCTTGGCACACTTCCACTCGCCGCAATTTCTGGTCGACATTGAGCACTTTTGGGACCATCTTCGCGCACACCTTGCGCATTTTCAAATGCTGTGTCACAATGTCATGAACCACAGATTTTGGTAAATTTAACATCTGGGCAATTAAACGAATACTTAGTCGACGGTCTGAGTTCAAAACTTTGCGCACACGAGTCACATTATCGGTGTTTGTCGAAGTCGAAGGTCTTCCAGCACGGTCTTCATCAGCGACCTCTTCCCGGCCCTCCAAAAAGGCCTGGTGCCACCGAAACACACCACTTCTTGCTAAAGCAACACCTGTGTAAGCCTGCTTGATCATATGAAACGTCTCTGTCGCAGATTTACCGAGTTTCACACAGAATTTAATCGCGTACCTCTGCTCTAACGAACGCTGCATTTTCGGCTTGCACCACTCACAGAAAGACGTCGCGCGAAAATGCCTGTCCTGACTCTCCAAGTGCTCGGAAACAACTGACCAGCCGCTCATTCGTTAGCTAAGAATGCCCTCTACCGAATCCAGTCGAGGCGCGCACGCTCCGAAGTACAGTCATGGCGGAAGAAAATGAGTCGTATTACCTTCCGGACAAACCTTGTATTTCGCTTTCTTGCTCTAATGAGCACCATCAAACTGTCACCATGACGTTTCAAGTGACATAACACTCTTCTTTCTTTTCACAATAGGCCTGCTGATTTGGTCACCATCAGTAACCGGCGAGTTGATCTGCTCCTTATTGGGGTTGCCCATCGTTATGGTTGGTCTCTATTTATTATGCAAGACTCATTTCAAGGATTACCAATGGTCGAGAATTGCTAGAACACAAGTTGGGTCAAATAACATATTAGCTTAAGCTCGGCATGTACCAAATGACGAGATGCGTGCTTTAGTTGTTAGTTTCGTTAGGTTAAAAGCTGGATCACCAACTTTCATTAAGGAGTTATAGGTGAAAAAGTATTTATCAATACTTAAACACGTCAAATATTTTGATTCTAGTCTGGTGTGCCAAATTTTGTGATTTACATCTTCGGATGTATACGTTTATTTTCTTTTAATCCAGCTTCTTACCATTCACAGCATACTGTGGTATGCTCATTGCTGATGCTTAGGAAATATGTTTTGTGAATTGGTATTAAAACGAAGAAAATGTTTTTGCATTATTTCCTATCTATAAAGCTATCTGTGTAAATCGTGAACGACAATCCCCTTTGGAGAGTTGTTTAGATAAAACAATGCTGATGCATTTGTGCATGAAATATCTATGTTTGAATTAAGCATTTTTTATCATCAATAACATCATGTCAGTATGGAAACCCTTATCTTTGTCAAGCAAATACTTTATCGAATAAATTATCTGAACATTATTATGACGAGAGGGTATCCTATTCATAAAAAGTAGGAAATTTGTAGGTGCGTTCTAATACCAGTTCAAAAAATTGTGATTTTGAAACACTTTTTATTTTGTGATACTGATTTTAGTATTTGCTTTAAATAAAGAAATAAGTTGTTTAAATATTCGACGAGAGAAAAGCAAAATTCTACTTATTTCCCAATGAAGACTGATTTTTAATAGATCTTACCAAATACCCTCGAAATAATAGTGATATAAAGAACTTTGATACACTGCTCGACAATTCAAACACATTATAATATTTAGGATTTTGAAGTTACAATTTCTTAGTCTGTTAATCTTAACTTTGATTTGTAAACACCACGTCGTCGCGGCTTTTGTGATATTTTGCAATGATTCTGTATGAAGTCAGCTTTCAAACCGCTTCAATCAAACGTATTTGAGAGGTAATACTTTCAAGCAAATATTATTTCATGAATCTCAGTGCTGAAAAAGTTGAGCAGCGTATGCAGATCCTTAAAGAATAAACTAAAACAACATCCTGTTATTGTTTTTTTCATTGGCATATTGTATGAATATGGTTGTTATCAAATTGCATTTGATTATATACATGCATTTTTCGGATAGATGTTATACATTGCTAGTATGCTATAGATTATAAGTGAAATGTATTAACTATATATTATAAAAGTTATATAATATGTTTAGATGCCTCGATAAATTATATATTAAATTATTCATAAATGAAGGTTTGGTACTCTCCATCTGTGGCTAATAGTACTGAGACTTCGCGATATTTATAAAGTGGTATGCTCGCGTATACTCGGCTGCTGAAGCAAAGCGAAATGCTGCTCGTTCTTTAACGAATGTTTCGCCAATGTGGATCTTAAAGTAGAATCTTATTAGATGTATGATTTTGTTAAAACGAATACATCTTTTGATGTTCGGATGAGAGTACTAAAGCCCGTTAAAACCGAACAGAAGTTCCAGAATTTTTATTTTACCGAAAAAGAATTATAGGTCACTGTAATTCTGTAGTCGTTTCTTATAGGCCCAGACCTCATGACTCAAATGCAGTTTATATCAAAGTTCGTTAACAGGGTTGGCTACCCCAGCCCGCCGCAAATGCCACTACAGCGGTAATTTCAACAAAGGCCGCGTGACACGATATGAAATTAGTTATAAGAATTGGCATTAAATTTTTATACGACAGTTGACAACCTGTCAAGATGGACAATGTGTTGACAGTTATATCCTACAAATCTGATGCTGATATGCTGGCTTGCCGAATTCTTAGCCAGTTGTGGTAAGGAAAGTAAACATCCTCCATTGGCATCTAACATAATTTCACTTACTTTTTTCAGTTGTCTTTGACAAATTTCATATCGTATCATGCGGCTTCTCGTCTAGTGAAAATTTATTCCTATACAATGCCTCATGGAGTGCTACTGTCGCATCTGTATATGGAGGAAAATACAAGTGGCAACATGGAAAGAAAATACAACTGACATCGACTCAGGGGCGTGTTGGCGGTAATAACCTACAAATGTTCACTTTACAAGTGTCGATATGCTGTGTTGCCGAATGTTCAGTTAGTAAGGAAAGCAGTAGTGTATTCAGAGAAATCCAAATATCAGTGACGAGCTAATGTGTATAGAGAGAAGCGTGCAATACTTATGTTAGAAGGAATGCGCCGATGGCACTCAGGCTGCTAGGCAACATGGTGCTTCTATGGCTTTCTAACATACTTATTGTATGGTTTCCTCTCGTATACATTATACCGTCAGAGATTTATTGGATTTCTCTGTAGATCTTTACCAATTTTAATCTCCAAAAGTGATTTGAAAAAGACGGCCCTACTTCATATGTGCAAGAGCGAGTAGTAGCTGTGTTGAGGATTATTTAGCGCAGTGTGAAAAAAGCTAGTTGATTCCCCTTTGCTTATTTCATATCGCACTGATACGTAACTGTCAAAATCATGGAAAATACCTATATTTCCGTATTATTATTATTATTATTATATTATATTAGATTGACAGGTTTATTTTATCTAGAGTTTTTCTAAGTATATCCTAAGTATATGAGTACGATACTAGCGCTCCAGCATGCGATGTATAGGACCAATATCTGATCCTTCAAATGAAATATTTTTTGTGCGTCTCGATGGTTTCTGGTGTTAAATATCAATTTAACGAAACGACATTAACGTTTCCTACATTTTATATCTCTACTATGATTCATAAGTATTATCGATAAAAATAACACATCTCCATTCAACGGAGTGTTCTTAAAATTTGTAGCAGACTATACTTTACATACACGGTGAGATTGAAATTTGGCTGACGTCGTCATCTATACGAGAGAGAAGCGCGATAAGCATATGTTAGAAAGAGATAGAAGCACCTCGTTGCCTAGCAACCCGAGTACGAGGTCCCGGAAGCCATTGGCGCACCCTTTGTAACATACGTATTGCGTTCTCTTGTACACATTGCGGCATCAGTGGTATTTGATTTTCAGTGTAGAAAAAAATGACTTGTGAAGTAGACTTTCAAGTGGTACAAAATATAGGCCAGCATATGATACGGACTATGTTGTTGTTGTAGTGATTTATATATAGACTTGTAGATTGTTATCGTGTAGTCGTTGCTCTGCTATAAGGAAAACATTCAAATTGCAATTTGGCTCATTGATTCCAATATCCGGAAATAAAGACAAAGACTTTAGATAATCATACAGTGCCGTCAAACGTACAATTTGTTTTGATGTTTTTACTATATAGCTATTTATTACGCTGATAATCTTTGAACACTTGCTAGCAGTGATGGGCGCATTGTTTATGTTATATAAAATACACCATTGTCTACGTGTAAACAGTTGTTTTTTTCTTCATCTTGATATTCATGTAGATAGATTGTAGAGAAAGTAAACAATTTAGACGATAATAGAGGATTGCTCATTGCTTATGCGAGGCGTTTTAATGAAATTTTAATAATAGCATTCAGGAGAAGTCACACAATTGGCTATTTTTCAAGTACGAGGTACTAAATTGTACTTATATAAGTAGGTTTTCCGGAAACTAAGAGCCGTATCGTCAGTCGTTCCTACAATTGTAGGACGCCTTAATGGTCTCCTTGATTGTCATAGTCTTTTCTCTCCTTCAAATATTTCTAGATTGCACCTGTTCCATGTCGGCGTCAGCGCTCTCCTATTGTGAAGTTGTGTTTTATTTTTCAATTGTAGGAAATTTCAGGCTGATAAAACATGATATAAATTAAAACCATGAACAATTTGATGCAAATAGATATCGCTGACCTCAAAATAGAGCGCTGACAGGGAAAGGTAGAGAACTAAGTCGCCCACTGGCTTCTTTCTGCCCTACTTTGGTAAAGTAACTTCAGCGCCTGCTATGTATAGATTGGATGAATGATCATATCATCCGGTGGTATATTATCAATTTACATTTATGTCTATTTATTCTATTTTATTTTTTTAATAACCAACGGTAAAGTACACTATAATTTTTTATTAATAACTCACTCGACTATACGGTGACCCATTTTAATCTCCCCACCTGAACTGCGCATTCTGGAAAAAGTTTTAAACGAAATTTGTAGGATTTCGAGGTGGCAAAATGATGCTGACTCAGACTGTAACCATGACCAGGACCTTCAAGGTCATTTCAAGGTTAATGAATCATTTGTCAAATTGTTCCTAACATCAAATCAACTAAATGCATGCCGTCTTCATTTCCGTTTATTTTCTCTGCCGAATTCGCTGTTTTGTGGAAACAAATACAAGATAAAGAACCAATTCATGGGTCTTTCATATTCTTTGACGTTTGCCAGTAAACTTGCCGTTACTAAGAAGACTTATTGTCCACGTGAAAATGTAAACAAATAAAGCCTACGCGTAAACGCTCATCACTGCTTGCTAGCTTGAATTATTATAAGAAAAACTAAGCCAAATGTTCCTTTTTATGTATAATATTATAAAGGTAGTGGATATACATTTGAAATGTTTTTAATGTCTACTAGTGTCAAACAAGTATCTGTTGTTGCTTTGTACTTAATGTAAAATTATAACTGCATTTAATTGTAATCTTGCTGATATTGCGATGCGCCAAACAGTAAAACCGTCTTTTAATTGCTAATATAAAGTCCAGAATCCGTCTTTGTGCCAACGAAATAATATTTTCTGATACATACTAGTATACATTTGTTTAATTTCGACTTACAATTTTAAAGAGTTGCGCTCTGTTTTTTTTTTCATAAATAGGGTCGTTACAATACTGTATTCGAGAATAATAGTTACAATAAGTAGTGCTCCACTTATTTATGGATTTAAAAATGATTAAAATAATAATTAGTTTTATGTGATATTTTTTAGGATGGGCTAGATTTATAGTGTAGAGGATAGCTAGTTCACACCCATTTTAGATCAGATTTATATAAAATATATAGTCGAAACAGTCGCAGTACAGGGTTATTCTTAATAAGTGTACAATACTTCACAGGATGATCCCTTATGTGTCTTTTAAGACAAACGTTTCAACAGCGTGATAATTTCTTCGCCACTGACGAAACTAAATAATGAATGTTGTTCAAATAATGCTATAGTAAGTTAGTTTTTTAAAACACCACACACAACTTTCAATAGTGAATGAATGAATGAATCTTAAAATTAGAGGCATCCGGGCCACCATAAGGAGCCAGTGCATAGGCCGCTTAAGCGGGCCCTTATGCACCTCTACAATCCTTAAATCACAAGCCTCGCCCTTTTAGCGAAGTTGAGAATCGCCTTGAGTCCAAGCTCCTTGACGTCCTGAGGGTCCAAAGTAATGGACCCCAGTATAGTCTGCCTATAGTAGCTCAGAGCTTCACAGCGACACAAAACGTGCGCCGAGGTCTCTTCCTCTACTCCGCAGCGTTCGCACAAGGGATCCTCAGCCACCCCCATCACGTGCAGGTGACGCCTTAACGTGTTATGGCCAGACAACAGTCCCACCAGCAACCTTAGGTGTTGGCTCTATCCAGAGATAGGCAGAAGCGTCCATCCTTAGCACTGGGCCCCTCAATGAGCTCTCGTGCCTGGTGGAGATGTCTAGAGATACTTCTCCATTTCTGAGAGTGTTGTCTTGCAACCCACGTCTCAATTTTCCTCCCAGCTTTATGCGCGGTCACTCCTAGAGCTGGCTCAGGACCAACGAGCTTGCTGGCTGATCCTGTTTTCGCCAGAGTGTCCGCCGTCTCATTGAACCTTATCACAGCGTGCCCCGGTACCCATATTAACGATACCGGATGCCTCGCTGCGAGGCAATCCAGAGCCTCCCTGCATTGCAATACAAGACTCGAAGTAATCTTACAGGCACTTAGTGCTTTCATTGCAGCCTGGCTGTCGGATAAGATTGTTATTCTTTTCCTAGGTCCACCCTCCTCCAGAATGTGAGATACACAAGCCAGAATCGCAAAGATTTCCGCCTGGAAAATGGTGGTGTATCCACCAAGAGGCAGAGATAGCCTAGTTCTAGGCCCAGAGACCCCAGCACCTGAGCCCTCTTCGGTGACCGAGCCGCCCGTGTACCAGACCTGCCCGCCCACTTCGGAGAGTCCCCGGCTACCGGCGTCCCACTCCTCCCTCGTTGGATACTCCACAATAAACTTGTGGTTGAAGTGATATTTAGGGGTAATACGATCACCCCTGCTTAGAAGGACGGGGTCCTCCCTTTCTAATTCGACTAAGATGGCAGTATGCCCCTTGACAGGATTCAAGAAAGCCCAGCTGCCCTGACTCCACAGTCGATGAGCGACTACTCTCGCTTCACCGCGGATCACCAGATCCAACGCTGGGAGATCCAACAGAGCTTCCATTGCACTCAATGGCGTTGTTCGCACTGCGCTTGTAATGCTAATACAGGCCAAACGCTGAATTTTATTGAGTTTGGTCTTAGTTGTCTCAGTTCTAATGCAAGGCCACCAGACCAGCGAGCCGTACAAGAGAGATGGACGTACTATCGTCGTGTAGATCCAGTATACCACTTTGGGTTTAAGCCCCCACCTTACCCCGACAACACGTCTACAAGCCCACATCGAATTGCGAGCCTTGGTAACCCTGTATTCCACATGCTCTCTCCAGTTCAGTTTGCAATCCAGGATAATTCCCAGATATTTCACTGACTGGGACAAAACTAATCTAGTCCCAAAGAACGTCGGCATGACCAGCCCGTCAAGACTTCTTCTCCTAGTGAATAGGATCAGCTCGGTCTTTTCAGCATTAACAGAAAGATCGACTTCCCTACACCACGATTCCACGGAGCGCAGAACGACCTGCATAATTTCCGAGACTGTTCTACAGAAACGCCCCCTAACTACTATGATTACGTCATCAGCATAGGCTTGCGCGTAGACACCCATACTGCTGAGCCTAACGAGGAGTTCGTTCACCACGATACACCACAGTAGGGGTGACAGAACTCCGCCCTGAGGGCAGCCTCTAGCTACATTCACGCTGCAGCTTACGTTATTCAGCATAGCTATTGTTACCCGACCCTCCAGAGTAGAGAGGACCCAATCTATTAGGATTGATCCAACCCCGTGTCTAACCAAGGCCTGTCTGATAGAGTCGGTTGTGGTGCAATTAAATGCACCTTCAATGTCCAAGAAGGCCACGAGTGCCACTTCTCGCTGATCTAGAGTCTTCTCCAGCCTACCGACCAGGTTGTGTAAGGCCAGATCAGTCGATTTTCCAGCTTGGTATGCAAACTGATTTGGATGAATGACACACCTTTCCAGCGGGCCATCCCTTAAGTATCTATCAACTATCCTTTCCAGTGTCTTAAGCACAAAAGATGAAAGAGTAATCGGTCGAAAATCCTTCGGGCCAGTATATCTATCTCTGCCCGGTTTAGGAATGAATACCACTTTGGCATGCCGCCAGCTTCTAGGTGTGAAGCCCGTGGCCACACATGCTCGAAACACATTCAACAGGTAAGGAACAACCGAAATCCGCCCCTGCTGTAACCTGGCCGGAAATACGCCGTCCAGACCTGGACTTTTGTATGGAGCGAACGAATCTACTGCCCATACCGTCCTTTCGAAGGTGACAACCTCCCTTGCCGTGCGCCAGTCCTCCCTTGACGGCCTGCGCAACTGCATGCATGTGATTGATCGCGCTACTGTGGAACCGGGAAAGTGCGTATCCATCAGAAGCCTCAGAGTACCTTCCTCAGAAGTCCTATCACAACATTTTTTTTCTTAACGCCGTTTGTCACGATATTTTTTTTTGAAAAATGCGTTACTGAATTTAGTTCCCAATTTTTGTAATAAATTTCGTACGAAATCGTCAACTTCTAACTGCTATTTATCATGTCAGTCATTCTAATCACACGTTTCTTTGCGGCTTTTTACTTTATTACTTTAATTGTAGAAAATGGTGCGATACCGTATTTCGTGTATATTATATGTGACTGCGGAACCAACGATCTGCGTTGCCCACTTGATGAAAAGACGAAGTAAAGAAAACCGTAAAAGAATTTAGTATTGAAAATTGGTCAGGGAGAGGGACCGGAGAATGAATGTGCTCCAGATGCTGAATAAAGAACTTTTAGTGGAGGATTTACTGGCTGATGAACCTATTTGTTTTTAAAGTCATTCTGATTTTATCTAACGCAGCTTATTTGACGTTTCTGTTTCTATGGGCCTTGCTTTTTACAGCATATAAACAATCATATTTCCCATATTCGTTTAGTAGTATGTCGCACTGCTCTTTTGACCATGACATCTTTTCAATCTACAAGTAGAACATCATAAGCAGGGGAGTTTCGCGAAACTAATGAATACAACTGATCACAACAACCGCTGAAAGTGCTTGAGGTTAGACTTGTTTTTGTCAACCAATTATCATCTCATCTAATCATCACAAAACACCACGAAAATATCCAGGAGTTAACACAAAACATGTAATTCCTTGCAACGTAGCGCTTTCATCATCGATTTCACTGCTCCAAATGCGCAGTAGGCGTCTGCGGACTTTTAGCATATTATTTATAACAGGCTCTAAACAATTTAGCACCACTTAATTTTTTCTTACAAAATTATGTACTAAATGCAGTCTAACACCATCCTTAATTTAGCACAAAATTTCGTATCGTGACAGACGGCCTTTAGACATAGTAACGCCACTTTTATCAATTCGTGAATGCATTTATTAAATTCACAATAAATGTTCAAACTGCTGTCCTTCAGCAGCAATGCAAGCTTCACATCTTAAAAATGATCGGGTTTCCAGACGGACGAATCTTCCGTTATTAACAAATTCAGCTGCTTCCGTGTTCTGTCCCGTGGCTCAGCTAAATTTTCGATTGGATTTGACTAAACTGTTTTTTTCACCACTCCCCAGAAAAAAAATCGATTTGATTCACGTGAGGTGAACGGGCTAGCCAAGAAATCGTACTATACCGCCATATCCATCTGCTCTAATATTCCACATCAAGATATTCTCTAACTGAACCGGCATAGTGCGCCGGGCAGCCGTCTTGCTGGTACCACATGTCTCTGTAAATGCTTAGTAGCATGTTTTCCAATAAATTTGCTAAATGATTCTGTAAAAATAAATTTTGCCATTCAAGAACTCTGTCAGCTCATTCTCGCATTTGGAATCCCGGTTCACATGTTTACTTTAAAACGATACTGTGATCTTGTCTCATCAAATGTGGATTTTCTACATGCCACTCGTATAAGTTGTGTAGATTCATGTAACAAACTTTTTTAAATATCGGCTCATCAGTCCATAAAATTTTCTCTAAATATCCTGGATCTTCTCGGTTTGACAAAACTCAACTTTTGGAAGATAATTCCGGGGTTGTAGAGATTGTACTCGCTGTACGTGGTACGGGTGGAGCTCGTTCTTTCTTAAGATTGGGCAGGCTGTAATGTTTTTTTTGTGTCATGTACGTTTTTCTACAAGATGTTAAACTTAGTCACTGGCTGATGCGTTGTAAACTCGTTTTGTAGGTACGTGTTGCCTAAACGTCATGGGGCTTCAGTTATCAATCAAAATGCGAGAGATAAGAAATAATTATATTCACTGTACACGGGGTACGTCGGGCACAGCTAATAGGTGTACTTGCCAGCATATTCAGTAATGATTTTCTCACAAATATCACTGATTTTATACACATGCAGACCAATACACATAATCATCCAGATGCGATCTAGCTATTCAACCAATTTTCTTCTCGGAGGTGAAAACTAAACTACTAGGCTTCACAAAACTTATGCAACCAACAATGCGTGTAGTTGAGCCATTCCTCCATAGATGGGCTCGCAACGATCCTAGTGAGCAAACGTGGAATGACTGCACCCTAAAAACTATCTAAAAAATCATCACATGGTATAGATTTTTCAATTTTTTTTTAAAGCCTTCGATTTATTTATATTTTTCTGAAAACTATTATGACTTGGCCTATCCCCCGTTTCCAGCTAATATTGTTTTTTTTTTGGAAAAATCTTTATCTTGGAATGAATGATTCTAGCTTTTCACTACAATAATTAAATAACTTACCGTCAAATTACTCCAACACTACGGGCATTGAAAACTTCAAAATAGTCCATCCACATATATTTCATTTCGTGAGCGATGAGCGAGAGAGCAAGGCGATCGACTGAGAGCGGTGAAACGTTGCCGAACTAGTTCACTTATCCGAGACGGTTTTTCGATCTAGTTCGTTTAGGAACTACCCAACTCAGTTGCACACTTATTAAGAAACACGCTGTATGCATATTTATATTCACGATCTATAAGCTTTATACATAGAGATATGACAAAATTCGACAATACAAGAGGATGCTCAATAGTTCGTAAGCAGGTGGAACGCTACTCTACATTTCGTCTGATTTCCTTGGATATAATTATGATAGAAACTTAACGGGTATACATGGATATCATAATTATGATATATTTATGGGAAACATGTATTCACACATTATAAACCAATGCTCAAAAGAAAAAAATGTCATGTTTATAATACAGATATGTATTATTGAAATATATTGAAGATTTGTCTAAAATATCCATTTTAATTCATTCGAGATTCTATATACCTCCACATTTATTGCTAGGCCCCAGTGCGTTTTCTTGCGCTGGCGATTATTGTTCCTAATAATGGCCGTCTCCATTTAACAGGCCAGTATGTTCCGTTCATCCAGCCATTTCAGATGTATTGGGAAGCGTAGATGCTTATGTATTATTGACGTATGTACCAAAACTGGCTAAATGATCACCTACGATTGTTGGTGGCCGTTGCCACTTCGCGCACTACATACAGAATTTTTCAGTAGACCATATCCGCCTGTTTGCTCTCTCCATTGTCTGTCTCCAATACATACTGATGATTCCGTTAAAAAGAATAAAAAGGAGTCATTTGCGGCTAGTGATGGTTACAGAGACGGGGATGCAAACATCCTTTTCAGCGGACTATTCAATTCGGCAGTGTGTGGCAGCTGGGTAGTGGAAGGGATCGAAATGGGTTTTCGAACCTGTCAGCTGGATAAAGCCAGACTTGTTTAAGGAAAAAAGGATACATGGACACTCGCTAATCGCTGCAGTACGGATTTCTTTAATGTTTTTGTTTTCGATCATCTGTACAGTGACCAGTGACACACACGTACAAGTTGTCGGCAAAGGGGGAGCTGTGCAGTGATAGGGAGTGATATATTGTGAAAATTCACTTGAGGCTCAATACAAAACGTGGATTTTAAACAAAAAAGTTGGAACAAAGATATATTACGCATTCATCCAAATATAAATATTTATAAAAATCGCTTACACGTAATTTATGACTTACAGAAATGTTAAAATCATACAACTATATATCGTCGCTTAAATGCTAGTCTATGTCCATTTTTGGTCATTTTGTGATTTTGACGTCAAACCATAGATTGAGGCAGCGCGCAATCAGTGCAGAAGTAATCTAAGTCGATAGAGCTCTAATATGGGTGTTTTTATCTTAATTACGAATAAACCTATGTTCTGCTCGATAAATTATTTTCATGCAGAACTCTTTTTCGAGTGATCCTAAGTCCATTTATTTAAGTGACATATGGTTCTTCAGCCTTACACATTTCCTGTTTTTTTTTTTTAATAGTTCTGGACATAGAATAGTTGTGACGTGACTTTACAAAACATACAATACTGTGAATAGGACATAAGCTAGTTCTGCATCGATTCCGAGGGCAAAATCAACCTTGATGAGAATTGAATGCGCAGGCACAGACTAGCTCACGCTGGTCAGTCGACGAGTACGGACGTCTTTGATACAGGTTATGTTCCGCGAATGATTGTGCTCAGGCATCACATCATCAACAAATTGAAATTACCTATGTAGGCCGATTTTTAACCGACTCAAAATGGGTTCAAGAGGTCGCAATATATTAGGACTTTTGGACAAAACATTGACGAACAATAGTAATAGCGATGACAAAAGAAGACAGAAAAGTGTTAGAAAAAAGATTCGTCATGAAGAAACATGGAGACGGAATGTTATTAAGTCTTCAAGAAACAGTGGTCAGGAGTATGTCGATTGGAAGGGGAAGACAAAGGCAGCAAGGAGCTTGAAGGCATCATGCGAACGTTGCAGAAGAAAATGCACAGAGAAGTATGATGAAGAGAGAAAGCGCATATTGGAAGAGTACTAGGGATTAGCAGATGTTAATAGACGAGACTTCACCGCAAAGCATATTGAAGTCGTGAAGAAGGCTAGGGTTAGAAAGAGGAGGAGAAATAACGAGAATGAGAATGAGGAAATTGTTGAAGCAGATAAACGCCAATACACTATAGTCTATCAGCTTCCCCTCAAGGGCATCAGGACAAAGGTGTGTAAGCAATTCTTCCTGAACACACTTTCTGTGAGTGCGCAGGTGGTTATAACTGTGTTAAATAAGACTGGAACCACAGGTGTAGTTGCATCAGATAGAAGAGGAAATGCATGTAAAAACAACTCAATGATTGATGAAGCAACAAAGCAAACTGTTCGAAACCATATAGATGCTTTCGAAACAATCGAAAGTCATTACTGTAGAAAGAATACCACACGACAGTATTTGGCTACACCAACACTTAATGTGCGCAAAATGTATTCTTTATACATTGAATGTTGTCAGGATAATAATATAACGGAGCTGGCCACTGAGGCAATGTATAGGCATATATTTACTACCGAATTCAATATATCTTTCTTCAAGCCCAAAAAAGACCTCTTTGACATTTGCCACAAATATGACACCTCACTTGCCACAGACAAAGCAGCAAACAGCACAAGAATACTGCTAGGGACTTAAAAAATGCAGACAAATAAATAGCTATCGATAACCCAGGAGTGTACTGTTCAGCAGTATTTGATTTACCAGTACCAAAGTCCTCAGTGGGGGTTGCATATTACAAACTTAAGTTGTCAGTATATAACTTTACAGTATTTGATCTTGCTAGTAAAAACTGTACCTGCTACATGTGGCATGAGGTTATCGCAAGGAGAGGAGCATCAGAAATTGGTAGCTGTCTAATTCAATACATAACTGAGCAGATCAAAAAAGGAACCAATGTATTTTACTTCTATTCAGACAATTGTAGTGGTCAAAACCGCAACAAATATTTGTATTCATTATATAACCACTTGTCTCAAAAATATAAAATTACAATAAAACACACATATCTAGAGAAAGGACATACACAGAATGAAGGTGACTCTGTACATAGTGTTATAGAGCGAGCTTCAAGAGATATACCAATTTACACTCCATACCAATGGTTTACTGCTGTTAGAACAGCTAAAAGGATCCAGCCATACAATGTCATTGAGCTTAGACAAGAAATGATATTCGACCTGAAAGATCTTGAGCGAAAGACGTGCATAAATTGGGGAAAAGATGAAGAAAATGAAAAGGTATTTTTTAATAAGATGAGAGTTATCGAAACAAATCCAGATTTTCCAAATGTACTGTTGTATAAACTGAACTACGAGGATCAGACATACAAAAAGATCTGTTTGACACAGAAAGGAAGAAAAAAATTGAATACAAAATAGATGACGTACAGCGCGGCGTTACATGAATCCTTGAAAATGAAGATGACTACATGGCACCAGCATTGAATCAAGAGTTCATCAATGTGTGTAAAGGTGTAGTGATTTCACCGGATCAGTTATCATCCGTCGTGAATGCTGTGGGAAAGATCAAAATAAATGATAAGCTCTATGTTCCCAAAATAGGAAGAGAACAATTAGATAGACATGGAGCACATCTTCCCCAAACACAGCAGTTGTGTTTGTCAAATCTACGAAAGACTGTCCTGGCACTGGCGGACGCCAACACCAACGTTGTACATAGACGTAGATTTTACAGAAATAACCCAATCCCAGGGGCAATTTGGACTGGGCAGCCTGACAATCCGGTGTTGTTGAATGCTGATGAGATAATGCCAGCCGACTAGACAGTCGAGCATCTCTCGGATGATATAGAAGCAATAAAGCCTAAGATTAACTTTCTCAACAAGAAGGCGCCCAAGTATTTTACAAAGCCCATTAGCTATAAGGTAGAAGGGTCAAAGTCTATGTTGGTGTGTAATGAACAACAGTCATTAAAGATTGTTGATCGGAATATACATGAAACGCTAAGTGACTACAATGCTGGAATATCTATTAGCGGCGATATAGATGAATTCTTTAATTTAGAACGCATGAGCACTAGCGAACAATTGGACGGAAACATATGCTAGGTTTCATTTATATGATCTCTTTATTTATTATTGCATAAAAATTTGCATCACAAATTTAAGTTTTTGTTATTTTTGTTCAATACCCTGAGAAGTTATGTATTTTTTATTTTACCAATAAATCATTTTCCATAAATAACGTGCCTAACTTGTTCACTCCAGAACTAACCTATCTCCAGATGATATCGCCAAACCTAACTAAGGTACCTAGGTCGAATATGGCCAGCCTGTAAATATGGCCACACACCGTTTTCCCAAACACGAAAGTTTGTTATGAGCTGAACGCGACCCTAAATTGTCGCTAGTGTCGCATGTATTCGAACGGCCTACCTGTCACCCATCCGTGCAAGCGTTAGCCGCTCAGCCGTCATTATAGTGAAAAGCAGTGTTGAGGTTATAAAAACAGTAAGTAAGTATTGTCCTGTATTTTAACGTTGTTTTCATTATAAATCTTTATTATTTACATTACGATGTTGTGTAATAATTGTAGTTTCATATTTCTTTGTATATTTATCAAAGTAATAGTGCGTTTTTCATTCGTGAATATGAAAACAAAAAATTTGGATGACTGCAAATATGGCCACCGTTTGGCCATATTAACAGTACTTACTGAATTGCTGACACGTTTTTTTGTTTTTTGTTTTAGACCATGGCACGCTATAAATGTAAAGGGCTTCGAAGTAACTGGGCAGATGCTAATATGAAATTAGCTTTAGCTGCAGTCAGAAGTGGTAAAATGAAAGTTTATACGGCTTCCAAGCATTATAATGTGCCAAGACGCACTCTGAGACGTTATTTACAAGAAAACAAAGAGACCAAATCTACTTTGGGCCGGAAACCACTTCTTAACCCTGAAGATGAAAAGATTTTGGAATCCCGTATTATTCGTCTGTGTAATGTGGGATATCCATTAACACAGCGTGTACTTCGTAGATGCGTGAAGACATTCTGTGATCAAAATAACATTCCAGCGCCAAGTGGAGGCTTGATAGTGGGACGAGATTGGCTGAGAGGATTTTTAAAACGTCATAGGAATATCAGTAGACGAAAAGCACAGAACCTAAACCCCGCAAGAGCACAAAAGCTGAATAAAGCAGTAGTTTCCGATTATTTTAGTAAATTGAAGAAAATCTTAGTAGAAAATGACCTTATGAACAAACCGGAACGTATCTATAATATTAACGAAAAAGGTTGCCAGCTTAATTTGCACAAATCACCAGAAGTTTTGGCTGAACGTGGATCCAAGAGAGTACATTTGGTAGCACCCGAACACGGCGAGAATGTAACAATAGTTTCATGTGGCAACGCTTTAGGCCATGTCATTCCGCCCATGATACTCTTTAAGGGCAAACGAATGAAGCCAGAATGGGTAGATTCGTTACCCACCGGTTCAGTAGCCCAAATGACACCCAAAGGGAGTATGAATTCTGAAACATTTGTGAACTGGACACACCATTTTGCAAAATTTAAATTGCCAGGACCTTGTTTACTTATCTTGGATGGAGCGAAGTGCCACTTAGACTATTCGATAGTTGAAGCAGCAGAACAATTCGACATCAAGCTTTTCTGTCTCCCGAGCAACACCACACATGAATTGCAGCCCATGGACAAATCAGTATTTCGTTCTTTTGAATATTACTGGGATGAAGAAGTTTTAAAATACTGGTCTATTCACGAGGACAGGAAAATAACCAAACAAAGGTTTGGGATATTATTTTCCAAAGTGTGGGATAAAGCTGCGACACCTGCTAATGTCAAAGCTGGATTTGAAGCGACCGGAATTTTCCCATTCAATCCAGATAGGATTCCAGAAGAAGTATACGCTCCCAGCATACCTACTCATAATTTCGCAGAACCTGGAGCTTCTCCTTCTGAAAATCAAGAAAATGGAGATACTAACGACAGCGACGCTACAAATCTGTTAATTCCTCTTCAGGAAAATGAAGATACTAATGAAAGCGACGTTACTGATGCCAGTGGAAATTCTCCTTATCCTCTCCCAAATGAAGACAAAGGTAATTCAAATCCATCAAATGATTCCTCAGATTCACAGCCAAGCCAAGCAAAGCGTTGTGCTGCAACTCCAGACAACGCCTCTGATGATCATCCACAGCACCCAAATCAAGAAGATATATCGAACTTTATAGAACCCCTGCCAAGTGTTTATGACGATTACGACAGTAGCGATCACATTCCTTTGTCCAAACTAAAGCAACATAACAATAATATCGAGTCAAAAACTGAATTAAATGTAGTCTGCCCCACAACATTTAATGAGTCATATACATCTTTGTGTCAAATGCAGTGGCGGCTCGTGCCAATTCAGTGAGGTAGTGCCAGAATGGAAGCCATAATTTTGAATCGATTCAAAATTGTAAAGAATAACTTATAACTTACCCCTGATAGTTAGTGGTCAAAGTTCTTGAGGTTCAATAAATCTATATGTCCAAAAAAAAATCAAAAATAAAACTATTTACACACGCGCACCAAATTATAAAACAAGTGTGGAGAAGTACCTATAACTTCAAAGTTTTCTATATATGAAGTCCATTCTTCTTTCTTTTTTGGTAGCAAAGTTTTCGATTACCTTATTATTAAAATTTTCAATGCCACTAACAAAATGTTTTTCTGCAGACAGCATTCCTAAAGCACTAAGCCTTTCTTCCTTCATTGTGTTTCTGAGGAAAGTTTTAATCCGTTTCAGCATTGAAAAAGAGCGTTCTGCTTCAGATGTTGACATCGGTATAGTGATTAAAATACTTAAGAGCTTAAGAGTTTCTTGAAACGTACAATTTAATCCTTCCTCGTTCAATAAAATGGATAGTGGAACAGCTCCAGAAGTAGTACTCAATTCTTCTCTCTGATATAATACTTGTAACTCAGTTTTAAGCCTGTTTTTGTCTAAAAATGAAAATTGTGTGCATGTGTCATTTAAATGTGCTTCGGGAAACTGATTTTTTTTTTTTTTTTTTTATACTCCAACTACCACGAAGGCCTAAGGCCTAAGCACCCATTGGGTACCGTGGGGCTATGGGGGATACATGGGAAAGGGGGGACGCCACACGGACTCTGGCGAGGGAACACGTGTGCATGCAACATGCACACATTCTGGCTCCGCCTACGAGAACCGCCGGATGGTACCTCCGCGTTCGACAGTCAGAGACCATCTACCACCTACGGACAATCACAACATCCATGGCCAAGAGAAACATTTCTCCTGGGACGGGACTCGAACCCGCACAGCGCACGGCGGCTGATCAGGAGACCGAAGAGTCTACTACTGCGGCCACCGCTGCTGCCTAAAACAAACACACAACATCCATGGCGAAGGCGAGATTCGAACTCGCGGCCCGGCCGGCCGGCTGATCAGTAGCACGACACTCTGACCCACGCGGCCAACCGAGGTCCCCGTTTATAAACAGAAAACTTTTCAGACACAAATAAATTAGAAGCAACTAAATGCCCAGAAAAGTTAAATCTTGTTCTTATTTGCGATAATACTGCATCGCATATTTCTAACGCTTCCCGTTTTTTGCTGCCTTCTTCAACTTGCCTTTTTTTTCTTGCCGGTTCATCAGTTTCTCTCTGCACGCGTTCAATATCGTCAATAATGCTATCCATTTGTTCTCGTATAGTTTGAATTGCTGCTTCAAAATTCTCTAAATCATTTTTGACCTTAACAGAATCGGTGCATACTTTTTGTAATTGGTTAAAGACAATTTCAACATGTGGCATTATTTTATGGAAAATACTTAGCCAAAATACAAAATTTGTATCTTGCAGCTTTAATTTGTACCCACTGGCTTGATTAATCGACGAAGAATCGCGCGAAGTACTTTCCATATTGTCCATAACTTCAATCAGGTCTTTCCTATTTTCATAAACTGTATGAACACCTCGTGACTGAAAATTCCAACGTGTTTGGGAAGATCTTGGCAATCTGCGATTAACTATTTCATCCAAAATTTTTGTTCTTTGAGGAGACGTCGAAAAAAAAGAGCACAATCCAGATAAATTATGGAAAAATATTCTAGCCTGCTTATTGACAGAGCATGCGCTTGTCATAATTAGATTTAACTGGTGTGCATAGCAATGAACATAATTTGCAAGTGGATAAGTTTCCTTAATAATTTTTTGAACGCCATTCAATTCACCACTCATAACAGACGCACCATCATGGCTTTGAGCTATTAATTTGTTTGATCTAGTAATGGATTTACAACATTTAAAACGCATGCAGCGATTGATTTGGCATCGTGTCCGTCGGGGACGTAAAATCTCCAAAATCTCTCAACTCGTTGTCCTTTACACAAATATCTGAAAATAATTAACTGAAATTCACAGGCTACGTCCGTCGTTTCATCGGCAATTACTGCAACAAAAGGAGAATTTGCAATCTCCTTCTTAACTTCTTCATGATAAACATCTAGCATGCACTCAAGAAGCTCGTTTTGAGTTGTTTTTGAGGTACCCTTAAAAAGTTTGGCACTTTGAATATGGACTTTCAATTCGTTGTCTAATTCGACGCTAAAATTCACCAGCTCCTTAAATATGCCTCTGTTTTCCGAATTTTCCTTTTCATCATGACCCCTTAAGGTTAACTCAAATGCTCCACAAAACCTTATACAATTAATAATTTTATTCAATACATATCGATTCTTATCCACTTGATTATTATGTTTAATTAGATCATTGCGATAAGCCGAATTGAGTTGAGTCCTTATATTTAATTTACCAAGAATAGAAAAGCTAAAAACATTATTCATATGGACTTTAGATTTTTCGTGGGTCTTCATTTTATCCCATATATGTATAAGATCGTCTGTACCTTTTTTTGACCAAGTCTCGTCACCTCCAAATAGAACACATACAAAACAAAATAGTTTATTCGTTTCTTCACAACCACATATCCAGTTGTTTTTATCGTACACATTTTTATTAAATTTGCGACAGCGCGATTTTTGTCCGCTACCACTTTGTTTCTCAATTTTTAAATCGGGTATTGGCCGTCCTAATTCTTTAATTTGCAGTTTTTGATCCAGCGAAAAACCACTAAATGAGTTTTTTAATATCCCGATTTTATTCATTTTCACTAGTTTTAATAAAACAGTAAAAAATATGATCACAAAACAGAACAGTTCATTAACACTAGACGTACTAAAACAAAAACGTTATTTCTCACTTTTCAGGTAAAAAAAGACCGAAATCAGCACTAGACGTAATCATAACGAAACGACCGACCGAACAAAAACACCGCCGATATCATTTGATAACGAATTACGACTGATGATGTGCCTGGCACAAATTATACTTGTCTTTCGCTATTCACCTCATATAAAAATGTCATGCGTAGCGTTATCTCTGTCGCTCGTATGCGATGCTGGTAAAATTTCTCTCTTCTTATTTGGGCCGGCCCTAAATTGGCACAAGTTGATGACGTCATGCTTTCCGTCTCGTCGCGTCGGTCGGGTGCTTGCGGTGTTGTCACGTTGTCAGTGTTGTCACTTCATATAATTTATACCAAAAAAATGAAAAAGCAGAAAATAAAGTAAAACATTGAAGATTGAAAAAAATATTCTTTTTGAAGAAGACAAGGTAGTGCCATGGCACCGTGGCACTACCTCACGAGCCGCCACTGGTCAAATGTTAAAAACTCCAGAGAAAACGTCAAGCCCAAAAACTGCTCCGAGGGCAAAAGCTATCAATAGTCTCGCACAGGCGCTAACAAAATCAATGTTTACAGATAAAAATAACATGTCAGGGCCATCAAATGCTCCTAAACAAAAAATAGAAAATATACCAGGCCCATTTAAAGTGGCTTACCAAAAAAGAAAATATTCTGCTAAAAGGAACAACAGTGAAGCAATAACTCCGAAGAAGGTTTCTAAACAGTCACGTGGTAAAGGACAATCTGAAAAATCTAAAGATTCATGGTACTGTTATGTTTGCAATGAGGACAGAATAGCAGACATGAGAATATGCTTTTTATGTGAAACATATGTCCATGAGGACTGTGTTGGATTAACAAAAGAAGATACAGATAAATTTGTATGCACTCGGTGCAGTCTGGACTAACCACGACGATGATAATGTACTGGATGTCGCCTAAACAATATCTTTTAAATAAAGTATAATATATATAATAATTTTTGTTTCAAACTGTTGAAAATATTTCTATCATTTAATATCTTTGTATTTTTCTGCCTTCATCATAAAGTTAAATATTCAGTCTTCATGGACAACTACTTTGACTTGTTTCTTTTATCTTTATTATTTTAGAAAAAAGTTAAGAAACCTTAAGGTGGCCATATTCGACCTAGGTACCTTACAACATGAAACTTAGGATAGTTATGAAAGCGTCTGGTATCTCAAGTCCACAAATTTTCTGTATTTTGTAAATAAGCAAAATTTTCACTCGCTTTCGAATAAAATATATTTTTTTTAACTCTGTGAGATAAGTTCGACATATTCAATTTTATAAGCATGTAAATCAGAAAAAACTCTCTCCTGTAAAACTGCATTTTTTGACATAGACTAGTTCTGCATTGAAGTGACGATATACAATACAATACAATCATATAAAATATGAAAAAATATTGGAAGCCACAATTCCACCATAACAAATATTTTAAGAGCTTTGAAAGCTGAATCCGATGGAATAGAATAACTAATGGCAAGGTTGTGAGGAAGTAACAGTTTTGCTTCAATTCCCATTGATTTTAAAAAATGTTGCTCGCACATCTGGTGCCAAACCACACACCTATTGGAATATTTTTCACTCTGATATCCTGTACATCTTTGGTTACACCACCAAACTATTATGGCGTTATAGATTTCTCTTGGTCTTATGAAACATTTTCTCAGATTATAATTCGCAGTGTATGGGCCACTTAATCAAGTTTAGGATGGAACCTGTTGTACCTTGCATAATCATGTTTCATTCAAATATCCCGCGCTTTTAAGAACCGTTGTCTATGGTATTTGAAGCTATTTGTCAACATAAACGTGAAGTAAGGTGCGATTCGCCGGCGCCGTGTGAGTACAGTTAAAAAGTTTAATTTATTGATTTAAACTCCAAAAGTAAGCTTTTTGGACTACAGCAAGGATGCAGCAAATCTTCAGTTTGGTTTAACTTTAAAAGACGTCAAAGTACTGGCATACCAGTTCGTAAAGGTTAATCAAGTAAATATCCTTCTACATGGGACTCTAACAAAGTGGCAGGAGAATACTTGGCTGCACTTATTCAGGAAACGTTATAAGGAAGAGCTTTTTCTGTAAACCAGAAGCCACGAGCTTGGCGCGTTCGTCAGCATTTAATAAGCACTATGTTGTACTAACGTTCAATAACTATAAGAAAGCTTTGTCACAATGCATTTTAGATTTGCAAGCAGCTAACCTTTGGAATATAGACGAAAATTCTGGCAGCAATTGGAGTTAGGAAGCAAGTAGGATCCGTAACAAGCGCTGGAAGAGCATGTAATGCTAAAAGAGGATTTATTCCACCAATGCTTATATTCTCAAGAGTCAATGTTAAAGACTTTATGATTCATGGAGCACCAGAGGGCACTTTAGGTCTTCCAATCCAGTTGGGTGGTCTAATGAAGGCACTTTCGTGATGTTTATGAACCATTTCATAAAATTTGAAATACCTCATGGACAATCATGAACGTCACATATTTGTTCCAGCTATTCACCTGGCAAAAGAAAATGGTAAAGTTCTTGTTTTACGCTGCATCCACACACCAGCAATAAAACGCAACCGTTAAACAAATCAGGTTTTGGACCATTTAAAACATTTTAATCAGGAAGCTAATGAAGAAATGATGACACCTAGACACATAGGAAAACCTTTGACAATTTATGATATAGCTGACTTAGTCGGAAAAGCATTGCCACGCGCATTCACGCCAACAAACACTGCCAAGGATTTCAAGGCAAAATTTCACCCCTGAAATATTTCGCCCACATCCAAAAGCAGCACCTAGTGAAGGAGCACAAAAAGGTGGGCCAAAAGGTAAATCTAGAATACTAACGGACACACAGAAAAACGCGATTGAACGTTTAATATAATGTTAAAAAAGTTAGTCCCAAAGGTGATGGAAAACTGAAGAAAGGCAAGGGTAAGGAAAGGAAGAAAATAGATAGAGTGAAACGAAAAGTCCCGATTGAGACTGACTCTGAGGTTTCCAACTATTCCGTCTACAATACTGATAGTGATGACTCTTATGGAGACAGTGTGATGGATGAAGTAAAGATATGAGAAAGGAGACTTTGTGATATTTATACATGAAGACAAATACTTCGTAGGTAAAAAAGAATCTCTTAGTGAAGGGTTTTGATAAAATTAATGCAGAAATTCTTTGAAAAACTGGAAATGGCCTGATAAAGATGATTTGAATCTGTATCCGTACCAGGATATTAAGAGAAAGATTAAGTCATCAAAGATAGTGAACTCAAGGAGAGAAGTTTATCATTTTCCAGAAATTGAGATATACTGGAATTTTTGTTAAATCCTATTCAACTAAATATAATTGATCTCGAAATAGTAACTGAAAGTCTGAGTCTGACATAATCTTTTTGTACGTTTTTAGGTTATTTTTGTTGTAACTTCTTAAGTTCTTATGGTTTATTTTTGTTTATTCTTGACTTTAGTGGACGTTTTATTAGAATTTATGTTAAAACTAACTGTAACTATTTTTAATTACAAATGCTAATATGATTAACTAATTATTAATAATATTGTTTCAACAGAAAATAAATAAATTATAGTTAAAAAAGTGTTTATCTTGGTTTGTACATGAGGTACAACAGACACGGTCCAAGGTATATCTGCTTTGTTGCACCTAGGACAGTTTTCCTTTTTTTTTCAAGTGGCTAGTGGCCCCAGATTTATGAAAATAAACACAGTTTAATGAATTAATTATGCAGTTAATCAAATGATCTTTACATACATACACAGTGGACAGGTGCAGCTAGCACCTTTAATTAAAAAAATCAAATTTCAAAAAACTGATGGCCTAGGTACAACAGGTTCCCTACCTTAGATTAGCAGCTCTTTTATCATTGTCAAGCTTACATACATGTTCGGCATTTTAAAAATGGAGGTGCTCGCCTTGCCAAGCAAGACATATACTTATGCTAATATATAGGACTGCTGTCTAATATACGTATAGTTAAGGAATTGATGAGTTCTCCAATGTAAAGCTTACCAGTCATTTTCTTGCACTTGGTTGATGTCGAAAAGAACAGCTCTCTTTGTTCATTATCAAGTGTTCAATTTTGAAATTACCGTAACTGTGCGTTATGGATAAACGCTATACCAGCAAAATGCATATTTGTTTCAGATCTAGGGAAAACTTATAGTTTCAAATACAGTGGTTGATTTCAATTTATACAGAAAAAAAATCTCAAAAAGAAAAACATTTCAGGCCATTATTTTCAAATGATATTCACAAAACATTTATACCACTACGAACACAGAACTAGAACTTGTCAAAATGACATCACAAAACCAGAAGTACCTCTGACAGAGCGGTATTGCCACACATTGCCGTTTTCCTGCCAAGCCACGACCAAAGCTTAAGCCAATCACCCCGGTTCGTTTTTGTAACATTTTTGAAAATTCTATACAATTCATTGTCCAGTCATTATTCACACCACATCAATGTTATATTCATACGGTGAAAGAAAATATATTCAGTTTTAGATTTCGTGTGAAAATAGCGTTTCGACCGCAACCGTTTTTGTTTTAAATTACATAATAGATATGATCGCCAACCTAACTAATGCTGTCTACCTATACCTTTCCAGATTACCCTTCCCTCAAAAGATACAGAAAATGGATTGAAAGTTGGTAGCAAAGTTCATATCAAGGTCGATGAGTCCATTTAAATAGAAATTAGCACAATTATTATCAGTTATGAATGAAAAAAGAATAAACCCATATAAGATAACTAAAAAGACAGCAATATTTATACAAGACTGGGACATAGCTAGGTAATAAAATATAACACCTACCGAATTAGCAAAATACAGAGTATTGAAATTATATTAATATTATTGATAAAACATCTCCATAGTGTCAATGAAATATTGGTACAAAATTTTATATATAGATATAATAAATTGTAGAATACATTCAAAAAATTTCCTGACTCAAACGAAAACAATGTTATTTTCTTAGTTGATTTCCATTTAATAAATGTTGGTACTACATGTTGAAACAGATATCATGAGTATACTGTTATCAATATATCTAACCATCAGTAAATCGACTCGACGATGCCGTTGTTTGAAATCTCTATTTTAACGACGCGAATGTCATTGACAAATGTTTACTTTGGAAAAATGTGTTTATAAGGTACCGTCGGGTAATAAGGCGGGACAGGTAATAAGGCCGAAAGCCCATCAAAAGTAAAATAAATTAAATACTGGTACATACAGTGTCATCTGTTAACAGGTATGTGAATCTTAGCTCATTGAATTGAGTTAACGGCTTGTCCGGTCCACCAGAAGTTCTGTGTATGTCGTTGATTGTTTTATTGTAGTGATTTTCCTAAGATTATAAGAAGCGTCCGCAAAAAGTAGGCTTTATTTATAGAAAAACAAGTGCATATTTATTACCGTCTGTTTGCTTGTGTTTTATGGATATTAACTAAATGTTTAATAGATAAATGTACTTTGTTTGTGCATTATCAGAAGATTCTTAACCTAAAATATTTCAAATACATTGTCCAGATAATAAGGCCGTGGCCTTATTGCGCGCTCTACTAATAGTTTCCTATTAGTAGGACAGATAATAAGGCTAGAAAATAATGTGTTAAATTAGATACTTCTGATCTCGCAGATATAGGGAAGAAAAATCGAGGCATTAGGGCTCAGTGGACAGAGGAAACGATTTCAGAAGCTTTACAGTTGTTAAGAGAAGGGAATTCACAAGAAACGGTAGCACGACTGGAATCCGGTTTATCAAAACGTTCTTTAGGTGCAAAAACCCTTCTAAGCACACAAGAAAACGATTTGGCGGTTAAAATCATTCGATTTGCTGAGAAAGGTTTTCCTCTCACGTCAAAAAGTTTGCGTCGTAGCGTTTTCAAATTTTGTGAAACACTTGGTGTTCCACACAAATTTAATAAAGTAACGCAGTTGGTAGGCAAGGAATGGTATTGTTCCTTTTTAAAGCGCGATCCCAACATATCACAAAGGACAGCTCAGCAACTGAATCCCACGCGTGCTCAAAAATTGAACCGCTACATTGTCGATGATTACTTCACTAAATTAGGTAGTCTCTTGGATAGAAAGGGTTTAAAACACCGACCTGAAAAGCTTTACAACATGGACGAGAAGGGATGTAGACTGACCCTGCAACACAAACAACGTGTGCTAGCGGAGAAAGGATCAAGAAGGGTACACCTAGTCGCGCCAGAACATGGAGAGAATGTTACCATTGTGGCTTGTGCGAATGCCCTTGGTCAAGTGGTGCCCCCTAGTGCTGTTAGCGGAGACGGGGCAACTGTAGGAGTAACCGGAGATCGCGGAGCTGGCACCGAACGGTGATATCCGGTACTACTGTAGGAGGTGGGGAGATTCCGGAGGGATACGGAGGTAGGGAGTTAGGGCGATCTCCGGAGGGGAACGAGGCGACTGGTGATACGGAGTCTAGTGGTGTTAACGGAGAGAAGTTATGGGTGTGTGTGTGTGTGTGTGTATGTGTCGCGAATCTGCCATTTGGCCAATTTGAAACTTTTAAATGGATCCTAGAAAATCGTCCCAAGCGTGGCTCCATTTTGAGCGAATAGATGATAAGCCGGACTCGGCAAAGCGTAAAATTTGCGGAAATGTTTACAAAAGGGGTGGCGGTACAAAGAACTTGTTAGATCATCTGCAAAGATTTCATCGCGTGGTGCTGGAAAATGGAGCCATCGCAACACGTGCTGATGGGGGCCCAGGTTTTTATGAGGAGAACAGCCCAAAACGGAAGGCCCTCGACCGTCATTTCCTAAGAATGTTTGCCATGGACTATCAGCCGTTTCGTGTTGTGGAAGATGATGGATTCGTTCAATTTGTGAAGGCCCTTGACCCACGGTACAAATTACCATGTAGACAAACGATATCTAATGTAAGTATACAGTGTTGTGTGCAGGTTGTCCTAAGTTTACCGACTTACTACGGTAGTACAAATATAGTCATGAATTTTAGTAAATTCCCTTTTTATGTTGCTACTGTTACAGAAATTGCTTCCTGGGCTTTACGAAGAAAGCCATAAAAAGGAATCTAGCGGAAGCAAAGCACGTGGCGCTAACTATAGATGCCTGGACTTCCATAAGTCAAGACCCCTACTTGGCGGTAACCGCTCATTACGTCAGAGAGGATAAGTTGAAAGCCGCTTGCCTGGATTGTGTTGTTCTGCCAGGCAGACACAGTGCAGAAAATATCAAGAACAAAGTTCTTGAAGTAATGAATGAGTGGCGACTTGTCAACAAGGTGACAGCAGTTGTGACTGACAACGGCGCCAATGTTGTTGCTGCCCTTAAATTATTAAAAGTTCGACACCTACCTTGCGCAGCGCACACGCTCAATTTAGTGGTCCATGACGGCGTAACCCAATCTTACGATGTGGAAAATCTTTTTGAGCGCTGTGCTGCCATTGTCACTTTTTTCAAGTGAGTAAATAATTATTAATAACCGGTATACTCGGTGCTACAGATACATACGCGACAGTCAGTTCTACTTTGCTGACTGCAGGCAACCCAACTAACTGTCGCGTATGTATCTGTAATATCCAGTATCTAATAACTTGAGTTATTTTAAAAGAATTTGACTTACAAAAGATAGTTTTTTTTCCAGACACAGTAACCTGGCAACATATAAGTTGAAGTCCAAGCGCTCTGCCGCCAATAAAAGTTGCTTAGGGGTAGTGCAGCAGGTAGACACGCGCTGGAACAGTAAGCTTGCGATGATACGTCGTCTCATTGAACTCCGCGAGGAGCTAATTTTATGCATGTCTGAATTGCCAAACGCGCCGCAAGGTTTAAACGGTAAGTTGTATATAATTTTTTCCTTTAAATAAAAGATGGAATACTTGTTCATCTTGCTTGGTCCAACTACGATTACCTCTTTATTGTTATTATAGGAGATGACTGGCAGATTTTGGTCCAGCTGGATTCAATATTACGTCCATTTGAAGAGATGACGAGGACGTTGTCTGGTGAGAATTATGTCACGGCTTCTCTCATTATTCCTCTTACCAAGGGGTTGATCCGAATGCTGGACGATATCGACCGGTCTGCTCTCAAATATGAGGTTCAGGAGTTTCTTGACAATATTAAGCAATCGGCGATTGATAGATTGCTGCAATATGAGCAACGCAGCGTTGCAAAAGGTGCAACTCTCATGAACCCCCACTTTAAAAAGAAAGGGTTTGTATCTGAAAATCGGGCAGAGGATGCACGAATTCAAATAGAGGCCGAAGTCAAGACAGAGGTTCAGAGGATGCCACCACCGACACAACAAGGAGGAAACCTTACCCCGGCTCCATATGCCGGCGTTGTGTCTTACCTAAATGATCAAGGCGAGATACATTCAACGGCCAGCACTTGCACTGTGGACGCAACTATTCTCGTTAGACAATATGTGGAAGTGCAGCCAATCAACAATCAAAGAGACCCGATAAAGTATTGGTCTAACGTTGACGTTCAGTGTAAACCCCTTGCTCAGGTGGCATCATATTATATGTGTGTGCCAGCCACTTCAGTTCCATCAGAACGTCTCTTTTCAAAGGCCGGTTACGTTATTAACGAGCGACGAAATTCGCTATCGCCGGCAAAGGCAAAAATGCTAGTGTTTTTACATGGTAACAGAGCATTTGTTTAAAATGAATATTTTCTCCCTGTTACAGTAACACCTCCATATCTGTTTGTACGGTGGTATAGTGATGTTTACTTTGTATTTTGGGGGATATTGTGATATTTTTTCCTTTTTTTTTGATATTTTGATATCTATTCTTTTGTATTTTTTGGGATACATTGATATTTATCCCCTTACATTTTTTGGGGTATAGAGACGTTCATCCTTTTATATTTTTTAGATATCGTGATAGCCATTTCTTTATATTATTTTGGATATGGGGTTCTACTTCATCTATAATTCATAGTTCCTGTTACCTATAATGTTTGTCATATATTAAAATCTTTTTCTCCATTTTTCATAACAATCGATCAATATTTCAACTTTATTTGATTCGTCAAATATGTGTCGTGACGTTTCACTTTACAGATGAAATAAATCATACTATTCTTCTTATTTGGGCACATTGAACCTCATTCCTTTCTCACAACCTTTTTCCAGAAATGAAAAAAAGTTCCAAAGAGCGCTTTTTTTCCTTTTAAAAGTATTGCTTTGCAGAAAATCAGCCTAAGTCAAAGAACGATAAGTGCACGCACGCCTTCAATACATTAAAAAAATATAAAATATATATTTTGTGTAAGGTGGTACAAATCCAATTAAAAATAAACTGCGAAAGGGCAAAAACCATATTTTTATCTTATACAAAAAATTCGCAAGGGCTGGTTCGAACCCTCAACCCAAGGGGGAATCATACGATATGCCCTTGCCTTTGCCCACTACGCTACAGCAACTACATCTCATTCGCCGCTCCGTTTCAAAATCAAATCAGTATGCTGTACAGACCAATGAATCCGGTTGTTCTCCGGAGATCTCCGCGAACAAGCGCGCGTAAACATCCTCCGGAGAAAACCGCTCCGTTAACAGCACTAGTGCCCCCAATGATACCTTTTAGGGCCGGTTGTTCAACTTTCGGTTAGATAGTAGATAGTAGATCACCTGAACTCCATTTGACGTGATTTTGACCGAAGTCATAACCCTACTTTCACTTGCTTTTACTTATAGGCCGAAGCGATAGGTTAGCTTGTTATTCTCGACTATAAATATATCGCAACATCTGCAGGAGAGCGGGTAGGTATATAATTGCTTCATTATCTTTCCTATGTTATATTTATTAAAAATATAATTGCTGCTGATTCTTTCTCTTCGTAGTAGTGGATTTATTTGACAAATGAGTGCACCTAAGAGAACAAGTAACTTTAGCAGGGAAGAAGAATCCCTTTTAATTAGACTGGTGAATAAATATAAAGATGTTATTGAATGTCGTAAAACGGATGCAGTAACAAACTCTTCAAAAGCAAAGACATGGAATATGATTGCAAAAGAGTTTAACAGTGGAGCGGTGACCTACAGGGATAGTAAAACATTGAAGAATAAATACGACAATATCAAAAAAAGGTCAAAGAAGAAGTTCTCACAGGAGAAGTGTTCCCTGTTTGCTACAGGAGGAGGTGCCTCAAAAACAGTTCATTTCACTGATATTGATGAACAAGTCAAAGACATTTTAGGTGTCCGAATAGAAGGACACCCTTCAAAGTATGATGATGACATGAGTAAGGAAGCTGGATTGTGTTGAGTGGATATATTTTTAAGTTAATTTTATTTTTAGTTGTCTGTGACATACCTGAGAATGCTACATGCAGGGACTTTTTCAGGCATTTTTATTAATTCTTTAAAATGGACTTTCGACACAACCCTGCTTGCAGTTCCTTTGTCCATACCTTGTACATCCCATCCCCTATTACTTGCAAAAAGGACCCAGTTGCAGGGTAACGTAGCGTAACAAAGACCATATCATCTGGCGTGATGGCATGATTTCTATAAAAAAATAGCTTTCATACACATTTGTCCAAATCATACCCGCATTATATCAACCCAGGGCCATTCATGTAGAGTGAGTAGCCTTTGAGCAGCTCAGATGGTTTTTGCAAATTCACCGACAATGAAAGAACGATTTTTCAATTTAGATGCAACACAGCATTCCCATAAGTTGGTGTTTGTATAAATTTATAAAAAAAATATGTTTAAAGATATATATATATATATATATAAAATATATAAAATTTTTAATAGGTAATGATATTTATTCTTCAATTTGGAGCACAATATGCACCCGTCAGGAATGGCTCTGATACCTAGTAATTATAAATGAACTTACTGTATTGTTATATTTCTGATATCATCTGCAACTTTATCTATTATGGATCTAACAGTACTTTTTGATAACCGAAAACGTTGCAAGAATTGAGTGTCGTTCCAAATCCGAAAATTATCAGGTCTCTGTAAGTTTTGGGTAACCTGGGTATATGTACGATGGTAATTAATTCTAAGAAATCCTCGTCATCAGTTATCTCTTCGGGAATGTCCATTTTTAAACTTAACACACAACTCCTTCGCTAAACTTTGCTACGATATTTATGTTACTCACATTGAACTGAGTTTAACCGAGGGACATCGACCGGTCAGGTTCTATGCCTACTTGAACTGGGTTCAAGCCTTGAGCTTTATTTGTACAACTGATCTTCAACCTTGAACTTAGTTCAATCTGAACAGCGGTTTAAACTGGAGTTGAACAACCGGCCCTTGAAGGTCAGCGACAGAAACCTAGATATACTGATGGATTGCCTGCCGGTTCAGAGGTTTGCATGACACCCAAAGGTAGCATGACGACTGGCACATTTTTAACGTGGTTAGACCACTTTATGTCTGCCCCTCCCACGACTCTAATATTCGACGATGAATCGAGTCATTTAGATGTATCCATTGCGGACAAAGCAGAGTCCTTAGGCATAGAGCTCTTGTCTTCCTTCCAATACCGCACACCAGCTCCAACACATGGGCGTGTCTGTTTTTCGCCCGTTTGAATCTCAGTGGGATCAAGAATTGCTTAATTACTGGGACCAACAGCCCAATAGAACACTAAATAAAGAGCGATTCTCAATTTTTTTTAAACCCGTGTGGGAAAAAAGTATGACGATGAGCAATATCTGTAAGGGCTTCAGGGCGACTGGGATATAACCCTTTAATAAACATTAAACATGCCATTCCCGAACACGTGTTTGCACCAAGTCTTCCAAGCAATCGTCTGGAGGGTGGAAAAATGACCATTGGATGACTAATGAAATAGACAACTGTTCCACAGAACAAGGAAGAGAAATTAGAGTAGGATACACTGAATGGGATCCCGAAGATCTTATTCCCTTGTCTAATTTTGTGAAGAAAACAGCACAAGAGAATCCTTTTTCTGAGGTTCTTATCACACCATATATGAAATCTAAAACCGTATCAACACGCCTAAGAGGTAAGGAGGCAAGTGTTAGAGGAACACAATTCCCAAAAAAAGGCGAGCAAACTGCAAGAAAGTCCTTTAGTGTTTCAAGTACCAGTTGTGCTGAATCACAAGAAAGTTGGATGTGTAGAGTTTGCAACCATGACCACTTCGGTGATATGAGAGTTTGTGCATCCTGTGAGACATGGGTGCATGAAGAAAATGTTGGGCTAACCATCGAAGACACAGAGGATTTTACTTGCCCCCAATGTATGCCCTAAGTATCCGGCCTTATTACCCGCCTTTATATTACTGTGATGGCCTTAATACCTGCCTGGTCTGGTAATAAGGCCAATATGCAGGTACTCAGTTTTTTGTTATTAAAAAAATATATTTAAGTATTTGTAAAATAAGTTTTATTTTGTATAATAAGCAAATGTTAAGAAATGCATAAGTGTTCATTTTATGTTAAAACCGTTTTTAGTTTCATTAATTAAAAATATTTTCCACTAACACGGCCTTATTACCCGACTTTACCTTATGTCACATTTTTCAAATTTAAATTATAATAATTATGCGCTGGCACAACCGCGATCGCTAAGTCGCGAACTTAAAATCGGGTGTTAAATTTTGATGCCCATTGTCCTCGTTCTTCGTTTCTCCTGCTATATAGGCTCCGTGAACAGTATCTCTCAAGATTGTCAGAGATACAACTGATAGGCTGGCAACATTGGAGCACATGACACATGACAGCTACGGCCTAACACTGCGGTCATGATCTTGTAATGATTGTATTTTAATATTTGATCAAACCACATTTATACAAAACTACAGTTATTAATGTGTATATATAAGCAAGTATTAATGTATGTAATATATGATGTGATGTAGCCAATAACGTTTGAAGCCGATTTCAGAAGATTGGACAGATTAGGCATCACAGGTAACAAATCGTCTAGAAATCGAATACGAGAGATACAAGTAAAAAATCAATAAAACTCCGGACACAAAAGCTAATGACGTTATCCATTGCCGACGCTACTGCAGACTCAGGTGGAGTTGGTCAGGTTTTTAGTGCAAATATTTTTAGCTGTTATGAATGGTCACCTCAATTTATTTGAATTAAGGTTGCGAACAAGTGATCAAAACCCCTCCGAGATGAAAAAAGAAAACTGATACAATGGACCTACACAATATACATATTTTATCAATGAAATGCTCGTACTACTTTATTGAAGATTCAATACTTAGACTCATTGTGAGGCCAAAAATAAACACTGCAATTATTTGCAGACCAGCACAAGCAGAACGCAGAAGCAAGAAGGGACCCTCTTTCCTAACTTCAATAAACCTAAGGGATGCACTGAAAAAATTGTCCTCTGATCATTGGCTTTTTGGAGAAATTTGGGGGAACGTATCAAGGCCCAGACAGTTGAAGGCGTTTCATCTGCGTTAACTTTAATAACGACCTAAGTGATACCCTGAATAAAGATCGAGCTTCACGTAAAGTAAATTTACTTATGTATATAAGAAATCCAAAGCCATGACACAAATATTGTCAACACCTTCAGTGAAATTTCCGCTAACATGTTACATGTATATAAGTATATGCCACACTCCCATGATGGTTTCGCCAGAAACTGCCAAAAACCTGGCTTGTGCGGAGGTATGAGAATACTTTTCTCGTTAAGTCAATTTATTAATGGCTGGATATAGTGTGGTTTGGATTTGACGTATTCGTTGCCTGAAAATTTGCTTTCCAAGGTCTGGTTAAATAACCATATGCTCTATGTAGCAGCACTGCTTCTATGAATTGAAATATTGATGTTTTGCGCAGTTTTTGGCGCTCGTAGTTTGTGTCACGTGTCATCCTTGACAATAATGTTAAGAAAAAAAGGTTAAACATTGCGGTTTATTTTTTAGTTAACCCGTAGAAGGTTCCAGTCAAAGTTCGCTAACTAAACTATACTCAATTATCTTCATTTTTATATGTCATGTTTCCTAGTGGATATGTCTATGAAACATTAAATCCAGTTTCCCTCAAGAGTAAGGACTACAATAGGACGTTACTGCTATGCGTATGGTACTCATGTAGTCTTTTTTATAACTGAAATAATTCCTTATTCTTATTTTACAGGCTGCGAAAAATAGTCGAGATGACATAACCAAAGTTATTTCGATTCGCAAATCTTACCACCTATCTTCGACATTTAGGTAGTGCACAGGAAGTCCCTTGCCGTATCTAAATTACTTTCAGATATCACAACAAACTCAACAATAGTGCATTCGAAAGTCAATTATTGTTTTCTCTTCGAGACAGGATGACCCAATCGTTCGCTGAATTCCTGGACTGTGCATTTTCTGCGGACGTCCTTTCCCGCTGTTGCTGTAACAGGTTCTTGGCTAACATCAATGATTCTTTTTCTTCTTGTAACGCCTTCAGGTTGAGTTGCCTTTGTTGATCCTCAGCTTCTTCAGCTAATAGTTGATTGTGTTTTTGTGTCATGAAGACTAATTCTTCTTGTACCTGGAATCAGACAGGAGGTTGTTGTAAAACAACTGATGAAGATTCTAAAGCATAAACATAGTTTAGTAACGAACATTTGAATCGGCTTTTATTTTTCAATATTTGGGTTCTGAGTTCCAATAGAAAAATCTTCTGCAATTCTCCACTGAACAAAAATATTTCAACATAGTGATTAATAAAGTGCTGCTGACCTAGACAATGGATATATATCTTTCTGTATATTATTGCCAATAATTTATTATTCCTGCATGATGGGTGCTTGGAGCGCAAACACTGATCTTTGATACGAGGGCTGTCTTTTAAGTTTTGCATATAGAAACATAGTAGGCCGCGCGTATCGAACGACAGTTCTGAATCTTAACCTCACTCTTTAGTAAACTTAAATTCAAAGTTTCACAACAATACGTACAGTGAATTTTTAAGTGTCACCAAGTCATTAGAAAAATGGAACTCAACCGAGAACATTTTCGCGCCATAATTTATTATAACTTTCAGAGAAAATTATCGCAACAAGAATGCCTTGCTGAGTTACTGTCTGTTTTCGGCAACGAAGCGCCACATCAGTCGACAATTTCCCGTTGGTATGGAGAATTCAAACGTGGATGGGTGAGTCTTAGCGACGATCCCAGGGTGGGTGCACCAAAAACGGCAGTCACCCAGGAAAACGTCAATGTGTGCGCAAACTCATCATTGAAGATAGACATGAGACATATCGCGAGATTGAGGCGTCCTTGAAGATCTCAAAGACCTCAATTCAAAAAAATTTACATGAAAAATTAGGAGTAAGAAAATTAGTTTCTCGTTGGATACCCCACTTGTTGACTGAAGAACAGAAAGCAGCCAGGGTTAATTGGTGTCAAAAAACGCTTGACCGTTTCAATTCCGAAAACTCAAAAAAATGTGTACAGCATTGTTAGTGGTCATGAATCGTGGATTTACTGTTATGAACCAGAAAATAAACGACAGTCGGCTGTTTGGGTGTTCCAAGGTGAAGAAAAGCCAACAAAAGTCATCCATTCTCGAAGTGTTTCGAAAAAGATGGTCGCGACATTTGTGTCAAAAGCCGGTCATATTGCAACAATTCCTCTAAATGAGCAAAGAACTGTTACTGCGGATTGGTATACCACCATTTGTTTGCCAAAAGTCATCACCGAGCTTCGAAAAATCAACCCCGAAAGAAGAATCATCCTCCACCAAGACAATGCAAGCTCGCACACAGCCCAAAAAACAAGGCAGTATTTAACGGAAGAAAACGTGGAATTACTGGACCATCCTCCATATAGTCCCGATCTAAGTCCTAACGATTTCTTTACTTTCCCGAAAATTAAAAACAGACTGCGTGGTCAAAGGTTCCAGTCACCAGAAGAAGCAGTTGACGCGTTCAAAATGCCGTTTTGGATCTGCCAGCAAACGAGTGAAATAAGTGCTTCGAAAATTGGTTCGAGCGCATGCAGATGTGTATTAATCTTCGTGGAGAATACTTCGAAAAACAATAAAGTCATTTAAAACTACCTACCGTGTTGTGTAATTTCCATATGCAAAACTTAAAAGACATCCCTCGTACGGAAGAATATGCAGCAGATTAAAGTAACTAAGGTGATGCAAGATTTCTAAATAAAAGTGCCATACTAACAGATGGGGTCAGACCTACACAATTTTAGTCTGTTTATTGATCTTATTTATTCTCTAGTGGACACCTTATCAACTTAGTTCATAAAATGATGTGAATCAAACAATCTAAGACATCAAAAATGAATATTTTTGTGGGTATTTTAAGGTGATTTTACTGATATGCTCACATCTGATGGAATATTAAGCTGAAATGCCAACAGATGGAAAATGAATTTATCAGTGGGATGAAGTGAAACATATAGGAAAGCTGTAGTAGTAGAGTTGACAACATCCGTTGGCAATTTTGCATGATCTCACTTACTTTTGACAGCTCTCAGTTGCATCTTTTCGTATCGAGGAGAGATACTAGCGCTTCAAGTGGCCATTGTACATGGCCTATACATTGCCTAGCTTTCATATATTTCACAAAATATATAAAAATAATGTGGATATGCCTTTCAAAATTTCAATTGTTTTATCGAGACCATACCTCCGTCGCTGTACAACGGAGTCAAGAGGGATATGAATGAATGAATTATGAAATTAGAGGCATACTGGCCACCATGAGGAGCCGGCGCATAGGCCACTTAAACGGGCCCTTATGCTCATGCCTCAAGCCACGCCCTTCTAGAAAAGTTGAGTACAGGCTTGAGTCCCAGCTCCTTAAATAGGGATCTAAAGCGATGTAGTATAGTTTGCCTGTAGTACCTCAGAGCCACACAGTGACACAGAATCGGCGCAGAGGACTCTACCTCTACACCGCAGCGCTCACACATGGGATTCTCAGCTACAGGTTGGGCGTCAACGTCTTACGGCCAGGCAACAGTCCCATCAACAACCTTAGGTTGGCTCTAACCAAAGATAAGCAAAAGCGTCCATTCTTAACAAAGGGCCCTTGCCTGACGGAGATGTCTAGATATGCTTCTGCATTTGTTAGTGTGTTTCCTTGCAATCCACTTCTGCATTTTCATCCTGACTTGCCCGACCACTCCTAAGGCTGGCTCAGGACCAACGAGCTTGCTCGTTGAGCCTGCTTTCGCAAGAACGTCCGCCATATCATTGCCCTTTATTACAGCGTGCCTCGATACCCACTTTCACGATACCGGGTGCAATACAAAGCTCGAAGTAATTTTGCAGGCACTAAGGCCCGTATCGTCAGTCGTCCCTATGGCCTCCTTGATTGTCATAGTTTTCTGCTTCTCCGTGTCAGAACTCTATTTTGAGGTTATGTCACAAACATTAATTTGCATCAAATTGTGCTTGCTTTTGAGTTATATCATGTTTTATCAGCCTGAAATTTCCGACAATTTAAAAAGAAAACATATCTTCACAATAGGAGAGCGCTGACGCTGACACGGGACAAGTGTAATCCAGAAATTTTTGAAGGAGAGAAAGGAGTATGACAATCAAGGAGGCCATAAACACTACAATTGTAGGGACGACTGACGATACGGGCCTTAGTGCCTTCATCGCAGCCTGCCTTTCGGACAAGATTGTTATTCTTCTCCTAGGCCCTTCCCCTCCAAAATGCGGCATACGCAAGCCAAAATTGCATAGATTTCTGCCTAAAAAATAATGGTGTATCCGCCAAAACGCAGACATAGCCTAGTTCTAGGCCCAAAGACACCGCGCCAGAGCTTCCTTCAGTGACTGAGCCGTCCGTAACCAGAAGGATATGTGCATACATAGAAAAAAAACTTGTTCTGAACACCTTCCGGGAAAAATGGAGATTTAAACATCCCGTTTTCAGAAAATGATGAGTAAAGAAAACTTTTGCATACGATGGTAAAGATTAAGGCACTTATTTCGGAGATTCAGACACATTCTCCATATAAAGGAATCGTTTCATTCATATAAAGCTAAAATGCATTACCTTACAATATTCCTCTACTAGTTTCTTATGTTCCTCATAAAGTTGTACAGATTTTTCGTCATTGAAGTCGGGAGTGACGGGCCTCAGATGCGGATCAAGAGAATCTAGAAGTGCAAACATTTTTCCTAAATCTTGGTTACCGTTACTACTGCTACTCTTCTCTGATGAACTCTGCACACCTGCCTGGATTGTACTGGCAGTACCTGAAAGAAACAAAATATAAAATAAATATAAAAATAATTATCAGTTCATAGTAATATGTAATATCCCCACTGTTATCCCGTCAGGAAGTAACGTTTTTCATATAAGGTGTAACAAAATTATGGTGAAACAATTTAATGGTTGAATCTTTGTAGTATCTTGTGCTTTGACAACTTTTGGAAGACCACTGCGTTTTGAAAATGCAGGGTGAACAATTTTTTCGAAAATATAAAAAAAATTACTAAGCAAAGCCACATGTGAGGCTTTTTAAAATGTTAAGATGCTAAATTCCAAGCTTTCAAATTTAGAGTTAATTTGCATCGTGCTAAATCAAGGAATTATTTGATATTTCACTATGGATGGCCACAAAGGGAATAGAGGATTTAATTCTGGGAATCGAGTAGACCATAAATCAGGTCCTATTTGACAGTTATACCGAAGTATACTGAATGTAACTTAATAAGAAATGTCTTGGTTATATAGTTTGGCAGTATATGATAAGATTGCAGTTTTGCATTTTAGCTGGAGGTACCAAGTAATTTTGCGAGTTTTTGAAACTGACGAACTTCCGCATGTAATTTGTGCTGGTAAGAAAGATTACGTCGTGAAAACTTTGTTCTGTCTTACATAAGTATATTTGTAACCAAGCCGTTTTTAGAAGAAAGTTCAAGCATAAAATAATCTTAGATCCAATGTAACATTTGAAACTTCTCCCGTGATTTAATAATTGTCAAATTTTCAATTGTACTTGAAGGAGGTCACCCTTGGGACCCAAACGCCCAAACGTACAAGGCTACTATGCCAAGGACGGTAAAGCTTTTTACTTTTTGAAAATCGTTCCAGAACCAATATTCGTTTTTCAACTTTGTGACCACAACAGGGTGTAGACTTAATGAAGATAACATTCCTCGTATTGACTCAGTCTTTCTTAAATGTTCATCTTTCTGGTTGTATCTCCCAGAGACGATTACTACGTCATTTAGATTTTGACTGTTCCTGTACAAAGATTCAGCTGTTAAACTGAAAATGTTTTCAAGACAAGAATAGTGACAATGGCTTTTCAAAACACTACTCAAAGCCCTAAAAATAAAAAATGTATAACGGAAATTATGTTCGTTAAGTATTCGAAAATATAATTTCGTTGCTTCCATGAAACCAAACAAATACGTAAACTGTTCAGAGTTTACGATGAAGGATGAGCATGACGTATTTTCTGCAACTGTATTTTTAGAAAATCTTTGCGTTGATGACCTTTTTGGATGTGTCCCCAAAAAAAAACTAGTTCATTGCTTTAGTTTATATTAGGTGATCCAAAAAATATACTTTCTCGTTAAAACTGAAACGAGTGATAAGACTAGTGTTAGACAGTTCGTAATGTATATGATTAAGTTAGACATATTGGCATCTAGTAAAAAACACTTCCCCGTTTTTCAGCGGAATAAAAAGTCGAAAAATAAATATAAGTTGTAGAGTGTTGTCAAGTGCACTGACCTCTGTTACTTTCCAGGCTTTGAGATTTGGAAATAGTATCTTCTAAGTCAGGCGGAGAAACTCAAATACACATACTTATCTTTCCTCCTATAAAGACTTAGTCGTAAAATTGATGTATTCAACCCACCAATTCGTAACAATACATACAATTCACAGATAAGTAACAAAGTTGTTTCACTGCCTAGCCATTTTTCTCCAGACTGTACGTTAACACACGACAAGAGAGTACTGCTTTGATCGGCGAATAGGAAGATTCGGCATTTTTCGTATTTCTCTTATTTTAATTAAAATCGAGGGATTTTGTTATTAAAAAACGGTCAAAGAAATTTGAGTGCAAAATGTTAATATTTACGTCGACGGAAAGCATTTTAAAATCAAGGATCGACGCGAGGCTAGAAAACGTACCTGTACGCGAGACTAGACCGCGTGACGTCAGTAGCCAGACACGTGCTGTCGCTCTCATAGAGGACTTGTATCTTGTATTGTCTTGTATACGGAGTGAATAGTATACGAATACGAATTTATATAAACTGGGACCGACGTTTGTGTACTTATTTGTGCTAGCACAATGCTCCAAGGTTATCAGAAAGCTGATTCGCGAAATTTACCCCATGTGAATGTGGAAATGGTGTACGAGTTTTTGACAAATAATGCAAATTTAAATGAACCTCAGAGCAGCGGTGTTAAAGTAGTTTGGTTGTACCTATATGAAGCTATTTTTTTTTGTTTAGCTCCAATGGGTAGTATCTTTTTGTATTTCTCCGCAAAAATTGATTCTGCTTTGCTTTAGTCTATTGAAAGCTAATAATATTAAGACATAATAATGCCTGCTCGTGACAATAATTTTGAAGGCTATTTATCTCTGCTTAAAACAAAGTTTAGGGCTGCATTCGGGGAATGGGCAATGAAGCCAGGTTCTAAACGTTGACTAATATTGCGCTCGGCAGTAAGCTGGTCAGCTTCGCTGTCACTTCTTTCAGTACTGCTTCCTCCTGCTTCATATAAATCAGATACGGATGTTTCTGTTATTGCGAGACTTTCAAGATTTGGCCGTTCACTTTCCACTTGCAAACGTTTTTTTTGGCCGCTCTGAAATCTGTTTAGCAAGCGCAGGAATTCTTATTGGCGATACAGCAACATCCATTACTTTCCGTTTTTGCGAGATTTTAACTGACTTGCTTCTAAAATGTACCTGTTTGGTTTGGCATGCCTTGTCACATACCTGTTACTGAACTTCTACTGTTAAAGGTTCAGGAAGTTCATCATGCTCCTCCTCAATAACTTCAAACCCTTCAGGCTCGGACTATTCGGTTGAGGGTACCGCCCGGCGTGCCGCCGCTGGCTGCAAATATTTGGCGATGTCTTTCTGCCTTGCCCTTTTTTTTTGCTGAACACTACCCAGTTGACATGCAAATTTATGAGGTGCAATATTAGGATTCATCCGGGCTCGAACGGTACTCATCTTGTATTGTAGATAGTTTTCCATATATTTTTCCAGGTCAAAATGATCTTCGCAGCAGTACACTCACAAACATTTTTTGTGGTGTTGTACTTGACGTACTTCTACATTTTGGCACAAAACACCACTTTCTGTTCGACATTGAACACCGTCAAAGTTAACAGAATTTAACAATAATCTATCGTACCAGCTCTAACTACTCCAAACCGATTACTGGAGCGTTGTTGTGAGAATGGTAAATGCAGCGGGCCAGCTAGCTAGGTGTGTCTGGTACTGACGTCACGCGGTCTAGTCTCGCGCACAGGTACGTTTTCCAGCCTCGCGCCGACCTTTGATTTTGAAATGCTTTTAGTCGACGTAAATATCAATATTTTTTGCTCAATTTTTTGTTATCGTTTTTTAATAACAAAATCTCTCGATTTGAGTGAAAATCAAAAAATGGCGAACCTTCCTATTGAGCCGCTAGCTACTGCGCACCAAGAAGGCGTGACGTTATTAAAAAATTCGCATCTCTTCCTACTACTGACGAAAAGAATATATAGAACTCCCCCAAGGGAAATAGAAATATGGATAAAAAATAGATATATTGCTGAAGGAATTTCGAGAAATCAGAACGGAAATGGATCAGTTTAAGGACATCAAAAATGAAGTTATACAAATCCGAACTAAACTGAAAGATTATATTGAAGAATTAAGACTTCTAAGAAACGAGAATGATATCCTAAGGATTGAATATGAGGCTGTCAAGAAGGAGAATGAGAATATGAAGAAATATATCAAAAACGGAGTGGAAATAATAGAGAGAGAGAGAGAGAGAAAACAAACTGGTATTGGCAGGATGCAATATGGATGCCAACAATCGCGAGGCGTTAAATGAGACAGTTAAATATTTCCGTACACGGCAACTCTAAGTGGACATAATACTAAAAGAAACTCATAAGCTAGCCCCAAAAACATGTTTGATCAAACTGAACACAAAGGAGGAGAAATCAGTCATCAGGCAGAACAAATATAAACTGAATCGATAAATCTTCATAAATGATGATCTCAGAAGGACAGAGATGGAAATGAGAAATACAATAAGTGCTAGGGCACAAGAAGAAAAGGCTAAAAAGAAAGAGGTAAAAGTAGGTTTCAAAAAAAGATTACAATAGATGGACGGGAATGGAGATGGGACAAAGGTAGAGCAAGACAAGAGACAAAAAACTAAGGCAATCTGAAGAGGAAAGGCTCAATAAGATGGACAAGACCATGAATAAGGGATGCAAAATAAAATATAACCAAATAGATAAAAATAAAACAGGGAAAATCAAAACATAAACAAATAGTTATTTGAAAATGGACACGTGGAACATACAAGGTTCATCTGAACCTGGAAAATAAAAACAACTACCAAAACAATTGAGAAATCATAACTTCGATTTGGCCCGAAATGAATGCACATATGCAACTACAAAAGTAGATACACGTGCTCATACATCCGGATACGGGTGTAACCTGAGGAAATAAAGATGGATGGGAAAAAATCACACACGAAGTCCACAAGAAGAGCCAACCTACACATTGTAGTATAAAATAGCTAGAAGACCTCGAATTTTCAAGGCGACATCTAACCACAACCACGCGGCCGGTTATAGCCACTTGCTGTGGTACCTCAAGCCCAAAGGATCTACAAAGAGAAAATAATCATGCGGAGAAATGTATATAACAAAAAAATAGGAAAATAATGGGCAAAATCCGCAAAAAGAAGGAAAGTGGATTCGAGCAGAAAATAGGATAGGTAACCCGAGCGATACGTATTTCTGCTGGTTGGCTTCATCAGGCCCGAAATGAATGCACAATGGACTTCGTGTGTGATTTTTTCCAATCCATCTTTATTTCCTCAGGTTACACCCGTATCCGGATGTATGAGCATGTGTATCTACTTTTGTAGTTGCATATGTGCATTCATTTCGGGCCTGATGAAGCCAACCAGCAGAAATACATATCGCTCGGGTTACCTATCCTATTTTGTGCTCGAATCCACTTTCCTTCTTTTTGCGGATTTTGCCC